CCAGGCCACCAAAGCAGAATGTGCGAACTTAACCGCTGCGCCACCAGGCTGGCCACTCTCCACGTTCTTAACCACATCCTATACTGCCTTATAATACTTAATATATGGCATTACAATTATCTATTTATTTATCTGCTTCCCCATTAGTCAGTGAAATCTACCTAGTAAGATCCTTGAAGAGTGGGATCATGTCTTTCTGTTTTTGCACTTCCTAAGTTTAGCATTATGTCCATCACTTAACAGACACTCAATAAATAGCTGCTCAATAAATGAATGAAAACATATCATTTGATTCTTATAACAACTAGGTGAGGTAAAGCAGTTATTATCAATTCCTGTTTAGAAAGCAGATGTTTGTTTATTTCAGAATGCTAAAGTGGATTTAAGTTAAATCATATATCCTCCATGCAAAGAAGGCATAAGTGATATAGTTTCTACAACAAGGAAAAAGCAAAAAAATAATTTTTAATTATTTGCAAACTATCAACAACAAGATTTAATTTTCTGATACCATCTGTAAGACAGAAACCTTCATATTTTCGCTAGGGTCAAGAGTATAAGTACAAGAAGAAAAACGTTATCCAGTGAGAAAAATTGCAATAAAACAAAAGCTTTAAATAAAAAAGCTTTCAAAGAGGGTCAGCAGTATAGCTGAAGAAAAATCCCCATTGACTATGCCATGTGGTAGGTACGTCATAAGAAGATTTAGGTTAGACAGAAAAACGCCCACAACGGGACGTCTTGGCTTCAGTTAAATGAACTGAACTAAATTTCCATTGTCTTTTGCCTGATGAGTCTGTAAAATGCTTACATATGGGCACTACAGAACTGAAAGGTTTTTTGATACAGATCAGATCATAATTACGGCTAAACCACCAGGTTATAGTTTAAGACAAATCTGTCCTACATATAAGAACGCACTTTCCGAGAGCCAACGTCCTCAGGTTCTGAAACTGTTATCCAGGCAGATTATATATTACAGTCCTAAAGAAGATTAAGAACAGAAAAGAGCCTTGAAATATTTAAATAGAATCCTGCCTAAAGGCTGCCCTAGACAATCTCATGAGGATTTTTCCAAGCCTCCTCTACCCTAATCCAAAATACACATATACACACACACTTTTTTATTGCAGCAGTTTTTGTCAAGTTACTTTTAGGACAATAGTGTTATTAACCTATCACAAGGGAAGAAAAGCATGTGAGAATAAAAACATACCAAAGGAACTATTAAACACCTCACAGGAAAACATTCTCACCAGTGGATTGCCACACAAAAATTTCCAAAGTCCTTGTACTCTCTAACGTAAAAGAAAGAGGATATTCAGGAGCAAGGGGCCCCTTACAATGCAGATATCGCTTAGGCTCCCAAAGTCAAATATACTAATGATTAAAAGTTTGAAAAATTAAGAAATGCAGAAAGAACAGAAAAAAATGATTTTTTCCCATCATCCAAAGACAATTCCTTTTTTTTTTTAAAGATTGGCCCTGAGCTAACATCTGTTGCCAATCTTTTTTTACTTTTTTTTTTCTCTTCTTCCCAAAGCCCCCCAGTACATACTTGCATATTCTAGTTGTGAGCGCCTCTGGTTGTGCTATGTGGGACGCCACCTCAGCACGGCCTGACGAACAGCACTAGGTCCATGCCCAGGACCTGAAGTGGTGAAACCCTGGGCCACTGAAGCAGAGTGTGCAAACTTAACCACTCAGCCACGGGGCCAGCGCCCCATCTCACTTTTCATGTAGCATTAGAATTGTTATTTTTGTCTCCTTTTCTCCATTTGTTTGGCCTCCCTTGGTGCTCATCCTATTCACTATGATCATCATTACCATTATTATTATCCTCCTCCTCCTCTTCATCATAATCACTACCATCATCATTGTGGTAGTAATAGGTACTATTTATTGATTTTATTACATGTCAGGTACAACGTAAAGTATTTTACATAAACTTCTCCATTTAATTCTATCAACAACCTAGAAGATAGGAATTACATTGTTATAAATTATTGTTATATAATTATATTGTTATAATTTTATTATTTATTTGAGTACTCTTTTTTTGTGGTTAATCTGGCTAAGGATTTTCAATTTTGTTTGCCTTTTCAAAAAACCAACTCAGTTTTGTTGATCTTTTCTATTTTTTTGCTATTCTCTAAGTCATTTATTTCTGCTTTGATCTTTATTTCCTTCCCTCTGCTAACCTTCAGTTTCTTTTCTTTTTCTAGTTCCTTCAGGGGTAAGGTTAGGTTGTTTATTTGAGATCTTTCTTTTTTCTTTTCTTTTCTTTTTTTTTTGAGGAAGATTAGTCCCTGAGCTAACATCCGTGCCTATCTTCCTCTACATTATATGTGGGACGCCTACCACAGCATGGCTTGCCAAGCAGTGCACATCCGCACCCAGGATCCAAACCAGCGAATCCCGGGCTGCCGAAGCGGAATGTGCACACTTAACCGCTGCACCACCGGGCCGGCCCCAGATCTTTCTTTTTTCTTAATGAATGCATTGATAGTTACAAACTTTCCTCTTAGAACTGCTTTTGATGCATCCCATAAGTTTTAGCATGTTGTGTTTCCACTTTTGTTTGTCTCAGATTTTTTTTATTTCTCTTTTGATTTCTTCTTTGATCCATTGGTTGTTCAGGAGTGTGTTATTTAATTTCTATGTATTTGTGAATTTTCCAATTTTCCTCTGTTACCGATTTCTAGTTTCAAACCATCTTTTCACTGGAAAAGATACTTGATATAATTTCAATTTTCTTGAATTTGTTAAGACTTTTTTATGGCCTAATACATGATCTATCCTGGAGAATGTTCTGTGCATTTTTGAGAAGAATGTGTATTCTGCTGGTGTTGGACAGAATGTTCTGCATAGATCCATTTGGTCTACAGTGTTGTTCAAACCTGCTGTTTCCTTTTTGATTTTCTGTCTGGATGATCAATCCATTGTTAAAGAGGGGTATTAAAGTTCCCTACTATTAATGTATTGCTGTTTTTTTTTCCCTTCAGTTCTGTTAGTATTTGCTCTATGTATTTAGGTGCTCCTATATTAGTTCATGAATATTCACAACTGTTATATCATCTTGATGAACTGATCCCTTTATCTTTATATAATGACTTTCTTTGTCTATCATGACCGTTTTTAACTTATGGTCTATTTTTTTTTATATAAGGACAGACACTTCCGCTCTCTTTTGGTGACAATCTGCATGGAATATCTTTTCTGATCCCTTTGTTTTCACCCTATGTGTGTCCTTAAAGCTAAAATGAGTCTCTTATAGGCATCACTTCCCTCTTGAGATGGTATGATATTGGCAAAAGAATAGACAAATAGGTCAATGGAACAGAAATAGACCCACATAAATGAAGTTAACTGATCTCTGACAAAAGAGAAAAGGCAATACAATAGAGCAAAGATAGTCTTTTCAAGAAATGGTACAGGAATAACTAACATCTATGTGCAAAAAAATAAATCCAGATATAGACATTACACTCCTCACAAAAATTAACTCAAAATGGATCACAGAGCTAAACATAAAACACAAAACTATAAAACTCCTAGAAGATAATACAGGAGAAAATCTAGGTGACTCTCGGTATGACAATGACTTTTTAGATACAACACCAAAGGCAAGATACATGAAAGAAATAATTATAAGCTGGACTTCATTAAAATTAAAAAATTATGCTCTCTGAAAGACAATGTCAAGAATGAGAATGTAACCCACAGACTAGGAGAAAATGTTTGCAAAAGACATATCTGAGAAAGGACTGTTATCCAAAATATACAAAGGGCTCTTAAAACTCAATAATGAGAAAACAAATAACCCAATTAAAAAATGGGCCAAAGACCTAGGAAGAAACCTCACCAAAGAAGAAATACAAATGGCTAATAAGCATATGGAAAAGATGCTCCACATCATAAATCATTAGGGAACTGCAAAATTAAAACTATGAGATACTAATACATACCTATTAGAATAATCAAAATCCAAAACCCTGACAACACCAAATGCTGGCAAGGATGTGGAGCAACAGGAATTCTCATTTGTTGCTGGTGGAATGCAAAATGGTAAAGCCACTTGGGAAAAAAGTTTGACAGTTTCTTATAAGAGAAGAATCCAGCAAACACACTCTTACCATACAATCCAGCAAACACACTCCTTGCTATTTATCCAAAGGAGTTGAAAACTTATGCTAACACAAAACCTGTACCTGATGTTTATAGCAGTTTTATTCACAACTGCCGAATCTAGGATGCAACCAAGATGTCCTTCAGTAGGTGAATGGATAAATAAACTGTGGTATATCCAGACAATAAAATATTATTCAGCACTAAAAGGAAAGGAGCTATCAAGCCATGAAAAGACATTGGAGGAATCTTAAATGCATATTAAGTGAAAGAAGCCAATCTAAAAAGGCTACACGTTTGTATGATTCCAACTATGTGACATTCAGGAAATGGGAAAATAATGGAGACAATAAGATCAGTGATTGCCAAGAGTTGAGGGAGAAATAGATAAACAGGTAGAACACAAAGCATTTTTAGGGCAGTAAAATTATTCTGCATGATACTATAATGATGGATACATGTCATTATACATCTGTCAAAATTTGTAAGAATGTTACACACCAAGAGTGAATCCTAATGTAAAATATGAATTATGATGTGTCAGTGTAGGTTTATTAGTTGTAACAAATGTACCACTGTGGTAGAGGATGTTGATAGTGAGATAAGCAATCCACGTATGGGGCTGAGGGTAAATGGGAACTCTGTACTTGCTGCTTAATTTTGCTGTGAACCTGCAACTTTTCCAAAAAAATGAAGTCTATTAAAAAAAAACATAGCTCTTAACCATCTTTCAATATTTCTACCCAGATCAAACATAGTTGTTTCCACTATGGATCAGAAGGCAAACCACTGCCTGATTATTTCTAAAACTTAGTTTCCAAAATCATCTTAACTGATAATTTAAGGCTCACAATGAGGATTAAAAAACTCACTTTTCAATTTTCTTCCTATGTTCTTTTTGCCTTTGTTGTTCTTTTACTTGTTCTCTTTCAATATCCATGAAAAGTCGTCTATATCTCAGGTATTGCTTTTGACGCTAAAGGAAAGAAGTTAAAATTGTTAAGATTCTGCTCTCAGAGGACTTTCCAGGGAAGGAAAACAACTTTGTGCCATAGACAAAAAAACTAATGATACAGAAGTCACATGGAAATAAGTCCTTAATTTCCTTCTATTTATAGTGACTCAAGATAATATCGCATACAGCAAGAGCTTTATATTTTCAAGCACATAGCTACTAGATGTTACTGACAAATCAGAGAAAGAACTACTAATTTAGTTTGCCCTTAATATAGTCCCTTGTCAACAGGACTTGAATAAGATTGTATTTGATATGATAAGATATATCTACTATACTTACTTTGAGTTCCCAAGTAGTAAGTACCAGAGAAGCAGGAACACAGAAAGCATATGAGAGGCATTTTATAACAGAACAATAGTCACTTTAACTTTTCAAAATTAAAACCACACCACAATAGCATGCTCTAAGCCTAGCATGGAATGGTGTGGAAGAGGGAAGGACTGAGGAATATCAGAGCATCATACTTCTAAAGAGAACAAAGTACAATAAAAGCAAGTGCTGCCATCCTGTGTGTGATCTGTTCATACTCCGGATTTATATATTTTCTTTTAAGGACATAAGCTACTCAAAGGTTACTAGTATACACGGACATGTTTTCGCCCTTTGAGCAGCTTGTATTCCTTCAGTAAAAAATATTAAAACTCTAATAGTTCTCAATATGGAGGATACATGACAATCATCAGTGGTATTTTTTTTTATTGAGTTCATAATAGTTTACATCAATGTGAGATCTCAGTTGTACAGTATTTCTTGACTGTCACCACATAAGTGCTCCCCTTCACCCACTGTGCCCACCCCCCCAGCCCCCTTCCCCTGGTAACCAATGAACTGTTTTCTTTGTCCATGTATTTGGTTATATTCCACATATGAGTGAAATCATCTGGTGTTTGTCTTTCTCAGACTGGCTTATTTCACTTAGCTTAATTCCCTCCAGGTCCTTTCATGTTATCACAAATGGGATGAATTTGTCTTTTTTACGGCTGAGTAGTATTCCATTGTGTATATATACCACATCCTCTTTATCCAATCATCAGTCGATGGGCACTTGGACTGCTTCCATGTCTTGGCTATTGTGAATACTGCTGCAATGAACATAGGGGTGCATATGTTATTTTGGATTGTTGATTTCAAATTGTTTGGGTAGATACCCAGTAGTGGGATAGCTGGGTCACACAGTAGTTCTATTTTTAGTTTTTTGAGGAATCTCCATAATATTTTCCACAGTGGCTGCACCAGTTTGCATTCCCACCAGCAGCGTATGAGGGTTCCCTACTCTCTACACCCTCTCCAACATTTGTTAATTTTAGTCTTAGTGATTATAGCCATTTTAACAGGCATAAAGTGGTATCTTAGTATAGTCTTGATTTGCATTTCCCTGACGATTAGTGATGTTGAACATCTTTTCATGTGTTTATTGGCCATCTGTCTATCTTCTTTGGGAAAATGTCTGTTCATCTTCTCTGCCCATTTTTTGATCAGATTGTTTGTTTTTTTATTGTTCAGTTATGTGAGCTCCTTATATATTATGGAGATTAATCCCTTATCAGATATATGATTTGCAAATATTTTCTCCCAATTGGTGCGTTGTCTCTTTGTTTTGATTCTAGTTTCTTTTGCCTTGCAGTAGCTCTTTAGTCTGATGTATTCCCACTTGTTTGTTTTTTCTTTTGTTTCCCTTGTCTGAGAAGACATGGTATTCAAAAAGATCTGTTTTAGTTCGATGTCAAAGAGTGTACTACCGATATTACCTTCCAGAAGTTTTATACTTTCAGGACATATCTTCAAGTCTTTGATCCATTTTGAGTTTATTTTTGTGTATGGCATGAGATAGTGGTCTACCCTCATTTTTTTGCATGTGGCTGTCCAGTTTTCCCAACACCATTTATTGAAGAGACTGTCTTTTCCCTATTGTATCTTCTTGTCACCCTAGTGGAAGATTAGCTGTCCATAGATGTGTGGTTTTATTTCGGGGCTTTCAGTTCCGTTCCATTGATCTGTGTGCCTGTTTTTGTACCAGTACCATGCCATTTTGATCACTATGGTTTTGTAGTACATTTTGAAATTAGGGATTGTGATACCTCCAGCTTTGTTCTTTTTTCTCAGAATTGCCTTAGCAATTCAGGGTCTTTGGTTGCCCATATGAATTTTAGGATTCTTTGCTCTATTTCTGTGAAGAATGTCATTGGGATTCTGAATGGGATTGCAATGGATCTGCAGACTGCTTTGGGTAGTATGGACATTTTAACTATATTTATTCTTCCAATCCACAAGCAAGGAATCTCTTTCCATCTCTTTATGTCATTATCAATATCTTTCTGTAACGTCTTATGGTTTTCATTGTATAAGTCTTTCACCTCCTTGGTTAAATTTATTCCTAGGTAGTTTATTCTTTTAGTTGTGATTGCAAATGGAATTGTCTTCTTGAGTTCTCTTTGTTATTGGAGTATAGAAAAGCAAGTGATTTTTGTAAGTTGATTCTGTACCCTGCAACTTTAGTGTAGTTGTTAATTATTTCTATTAGTTTTCCAATGGATTTTTGGGTGTTTTCTATATATTAGATCATGTTGTCTGCAAACAGCAAGAGTTTCACTTCTTCACTCCCTATTTAGATTTATTTTATTCCTTTCTCTTGCCTAATTGCTCTGGCTAAATCCTCCAGTACCATGTTGAACAAGAGTGGTGATAGTGGGCATCCTTGTCTTGTTCCTGTTCTCAGGGGGATGGTGCTCAGTTTTTGCCCATTGAGTATGATGTTGGTTGTGGGTTTGTCATATATAGCCTTTATTATGTTGAGGTAATTTCCTTCTATCCCCATTATGCTGAGTTTTTATCATAAATGGCTGTTGGATCTTGTCAAATGCTCTCTCCATCTATTGAGATGATTATCTGGTTTTTAGTCCTCAATTTGTTGATGTAGTGTATCACATTGATCGACTTGCGTATGTTGAACCACCCCTCTGTCCCTGGTACGAATCCTACTTGATCATGATGTATGATACTCTTGATGTATTGCTGAATTTGGGTTGCTAAAATTTTGTTGAGGATTTTTGTGTCTATGTTCATCAGCGATATTGGCTTGTAGTTCTCCTTTTTTGTGTTGGCCTTGTCAGGCTTTGGTATCAGAATGATGTTGGCCTCATAGAATGTGTTAGGAAGTCTTCCATCTTCCCTAATTTTTTGGAATAGCTTGAAAAGGATAGGTATTACATCCTCTCTGAAAGTTTGGTAAAATACCCTGGAAAGCTGTCTGGTCCTGGGGTTTTATTCTTTGGGATGCTTTTGATTACAATAAACAAATGGTCTTAATCTCTTTGGAAAGATGAGTTCAATCTCTTGATTGAAAAGAGATTGAAAGATGGTTCAACCTCTTTCCTTGTGATTGGTCTATTCAGATTGTCTGTTTCTTCTTGACTCAGCTCTGGGAGGTTCTAAGAGTCTAAAAATTTATCCATTTCCTCTAGGTTATCCATATTGTTGGCATATAGTCTTTTGTAGTATTCTCTTATAACCTGTTGTATTTCTGTGGAGTCTGTTGTTATTTCTCCTCTTTCATTTCTGATTTTGTATATCTGAGCTTTCTCTCTTTTTTTCTTTGTAAGTCTGGTTAGGGGTTTGTCAATTTTGTTTATCTTCTCAAAGAACTAGCTCTTTGTTTCACCGATCCTTTCTACTGCCTTTTTTGATTCAATAGCATTTATTTCTGCTCTGATTTTTATTATTTCTCTCCTTCTGCTGACTTTGGGCTTTGTTCTTTTTATAATTCAGTTAGGTGTAATTTGATATTGCTTATCTGGGATTTTTCTTGTTTGTTAAGGTGTGCCTGTATTGCGATGAATTTCCCTCTTAATATAGCTTTTGCTGCATCCCATATGAGTTGGTAGGGTATGTTATAATTTTCATTTGTCTCCAGATATTTTTTGATTTCTCCTTTAATTTCTTCAATGATCCATTGCTTGTTCAATAACATGTTGTTTAGTCTCCACGTCTTTGTCCCTTTCTCAGCTCTTTTTTTGTAGTTTCTGGCTTTATAGCATTATGATTGTTATTATTTCAATTTTTTAAAGTTTATAGAGGCTTGCCTTGTTTCCCAACATATGGTCTATCTTTGAGAATGTTCCATGTGCACTTGAGAAGAATGTGTATTCTGCTGTTTTTGGTTGGAGTGTTCTATATATGTCTATTAAGTCCAACTGGTTTAGCTTTTAATTCCACTGTTTCCTTGTTGATTTTCTGTCTGGATGATCTAGCCATTGAAGTGAGTGGGGTGTTGAGGTCCCCTACTATTATTGCGTTATTTTTTTTTTTTTAAGATTTTATTTTTTCCTTTTTCTCCCCAAAGCCCCCCGGTACATAGTTGTGTATTCTTCGTTGTGGGTTCTTCTAGTTGTGGCATGTGGGACGCTGCCTCAGCGTGGTTTGATGAGCAGTGCCATGTCCGCGCCCAGGATTCGAACCAACGAAACACTGGGCCGCCTGCAGCGGAGCGCGCGAACTTAACCACTTGGCCACGGGGCCAGCCCCTTATTGCGTTATTTTTAATATCTTCTTTTAGGTTTGTTAATAGTTGCTTTATGAACTTTGGTGCTTCTGTGTTGGGTGCACAGATATTTATAAGCATTATTTCTTCTTGATGGAGTGTCCCTTTGATCATTATATACTGCCCCTCCTTGTCTCTCTTTACCAGCCTTATCTTGAAGTCTAATTTGTCTGATAGAAGTATTGCGATATCAGCTTTCTTTTGTTTGCCATTAGCTTGGAGTATCATCTTCCCCTTCACTCTGAGCCTGTGTTTGTCAGTGGAGCTGAGGTGTGTTTCCTGGAGGCAGCAAATTGTTAGATCTTGTTCTGTAATCCATCTCACCACTCTTGTCTTTTTATTGGAGAATTCAATCCATTTATGTTTAGGGTGATTATTGATGTGTATTGATTAGTGAGGACTTAATGCTATCACTATATCACTTGTTTTCCAGTTTTCCTGCATTTCCTTTGTTTCTTGTCCTGTGTGTTTTGGTCTACTCACTGAATTATGTAGCTTTTTATGATGTGTTTCTTTGTTTTTTCCTTATTTATTTTTGTGTCTCTGTTCTGCTTTTTGGTTTAGTGGTTACCCTGAAGTTCATATTCAGAATCTTGTGTATAATATAGTCCATTTTCTGATGCCCTCTTATTTCCTTAGTCTAAACCAATTCAGTCCCTTTCCTCTTCCCCTCCTAAGTTGTTTTTCTCATATCTTATTCCAACTTGTGTTGTGAGTTTGTGACTAAAGTGACAAGATTGTCTTCTTTTTGGTTTTTTCCTTCCCTTTAGCCTAATCCTAGAGTTGAATATTTGCTATCCTATTCCGATTCTTCCTACCTATTTATCTCCTTACTCTGTGTTTTGCGACCCCTTTCTCCTTTTATTTCTTTTTCAGGTATGAGGGCCTTGAGGATTCCTTGTGGGAGGAGGTCTCGTGGACAGGAAGTCCCTTACCTTTTGTTTGTCTGGGAAAGATTTAATTTCTCCCTCATATCTGAAGGATATTTTTGCTGGATAGAGTATTCTTGGCTGAAGATTCTTGTCTTTTAAAGATTTGAATATGTCATTCCATTCTCTCCTAGCTTGTAAGGTTTCTGCCGAGAAATCTGCTGAAAGCCTGACAGGGGTTCCTTTGTAGGTTATTTTCTTCTGCCTTGCTGCCCAGAGTATTCTTTCTTTGTCATTCATTTTTGCCAGTTTTACTACTATATGCCTTGCAGTAGGTCTTTTTACATTGACAAATCTAGGAGATCTGGAAGCTTCTTCCACACGTATTTCCCCCTCTTTCCCTAGATTTGGGAAGTTCTCTGCTATTATTTCTTTGAACATGCTTTCTGCTCCATTCTCATTCTCTTCACCTTGAATACCTGTAATTCTTATGTTGCATTTTCTCATTGAGTCGGATATTTCTTGGAGACTTTCTTCATTTCTTTTTAGTCTTAGTTGTCTCTCCTCCTCTATTTGGAGCATTTCGACATGTCTATCTTCGATTAAGCTGATATGCTCTTCTATGATGTCCACTCAAGCACTCAGGGAATCCGTATTTTGTTTTATCTCTTCCATTGTGTCTTTCATCTCTAATATTTCTGATTGATTCTTCTTTACAGTTTCAGTCTCTTTTGTGAAGTAGCTCCTGAACTCACTGAATTCTCTACATTCTCTTTTACCTCATTTTTTTGATGATAGCTATTTTGAATTCATTGTCATTTAGCTTACATATTTCTGGGTTCTCAGGACTGAGTTCTGGGTGCTTGTCGTTTTCTCTTTGGTCTGGAGATTTGATGTAGTGTCTGATGTTGGAAGGTCAGCTCTTTCTCATTATGATATTATTCAGTTGCAGGTACAGCCTATCACCACTGGGTGGGGGTCGACAGCCACCCATTCTGAGCCCTCTGCCTTCAGCTGAGATCCCAGGGGCTGGAGCTGCACTGAGCGGGTGAGCGGTAGGGGTACTTTCTCCCATGTGCATTCCAGGATTTCTTGATCAGCTCTCACTCTGTGGTCTCCTGGGGTCTTGGCTTGACAAGGTCCCTCCATGCGAAAGCTTTCTCCCCATCAGAGGGCTTCCCTATAGGCTCCAAGGGCCCGTGGGAGTCCTGGGTGATCCCGTGAATGAGGGACCCCTCCCCCGCTCCTTCCCTCTCAGAGCCTCCCGCAGCTACCGCAGTCTTTAGGGGAGGGAGCCAAGTTCTCTCTTACCCCATTCCAGCTCCTCTGAGGGGGGTTCCAGTCTCTCCACCCTCCGTTGTGTGGCTGCATGTCTCTCCAATGTTTCTGTGTTGTTAGGATGTCTTCTGTTGGACTATGGATGTCCCTTTTTGTTGTATGTTGGAGGGGAGAGAGTCCCAGGCAAGTTCATTCCACCATGATGCTGACTCATCAGTGGTATTTTTTAAAAACACAGATGCCCCAGACCTACATTTTCAGATACTGATTCAGTATATCTGGTTTGAGTCCAGGCAAGCGTATTTTGAAAAAAGCTCCACATATGATTCTGGTACATGGCCAGTGTTAAAAACTATTGGTTTAAACTATTGAAAATTTAAAAAAGGAAGCCATAAATTAAAACTCTTCCTTTAAATGAGTTATTGTGGCAAAGATCACTAACTGGAGAAATTCACTAGGATCAGAATCTATCAGATTTTACATCAAGGTACCCTACATCCTAGGAGTTTGGAAGAGAAGTCCAACATATTAAAATGACTCAAGCAACTTCTTTGCCTTATCTATGAAATTGCAGTATTAGCTCTTAATGTGTTAGGACACAACAAATTGTTTCCAATTTACATATTTATGTAATACTATTCTATTCACATAAACTGTTATATATACTATCATAGTATAAATACTGATGTCCAAAAGCAGATATCATTACATACCTCTTTCTTGTCTTCTTCTTGATCTACTCCAGACTGAAGTGCCAGTGGAGTTTGGAATTCAGTGTTCAATCCTGATTGATATTCATCATAAACCTGTTAGAATGTCCAGTCACACAAAATGAAAAACTGCCAACAGCTAGCCCCATGCATGCTTTTGATATTTTCATCTATTGATTCTTTTTTCCTGTAACCCTGAGCTCAACTGGATTAAAAAAACAAAAAAAAAACCAATAGAATAAAATCCAAAAAGAATGAAAGAGAGCAGTTTTGAAGAAATTAACCAAATAAAAAACAATAAACCAAAGAACAAGATTCAGGTCAAAAACATGGATGAACTAATAACAAATCAAAATGTTCAGAATGAAACTTCTCCTAAAGTGAAACTGCTCTATCATGAGTGCTTGGGATTGAATCCAGGATAAAAAGCCAGATCCCTTAATATCTCAAATCTAGACTCAGTTTCAACTTATACAACTCTCTTGATGGGTGTGAGTCCAGAGAATAAAAGCCCGAAAGTATTATAACAATCAACTGATATGGCAGGGAGGAAACTGGAGGTAATTTCCCATATTACTAAGAAAGCCTTATGAAATAACTTGGTATACCTACTCGGACATTATACGAGGCAAATTATGATCTCTAACTTTTATAAATAAAAGCTTAAAATTAATTTTATCTGTTTAGCTTAAACGTTATTTATCTCTCAGCAATGCTGCAGGATACAAGATCACTATATAACAAGCAATTGTATTTCTAGATACTTGAAATGAACAATCTGAAAATGAAATTAAGGGAAAAATCCATTTATAATACCATCAAAAAATACTTAGGAATAAATTTAACAAAGGAAGTATAAATTTTATACTCAAACTTAAAAAACATTGTTGAAAGAAATTAAAGATGATCTAAATGAACAGAAAGTTATCTCATGTTCAGAACTGGAAGACTTAATATTATTAAGACAGCAGTACTCCCCAAATTTGATCAACAGTTTTAATACAATTTCCATCAAAATTTCAGCTGACTTCTTTGTAGAAGGTGACAAGGTGATCCTTAAATTCATACGAAAATGCAAGGGACCCAGAATAGCTCAGACGATCTTGAAACAGAAGAACAAAGTTGGAGGATTCACTCTTCCCGATTTCAAAACTTAGTACAAAGCTAGAGGAATCAAGACAGTGTGACATTGGCCTAAGAATAGACATATACATCAATGGAATAGAACTCAGTTCTGAAATAAATCCTTATATTTACAATCAATTGATTATTAACAAGAGTGCCATGAGAATTCAATGGGCAATATAGTCTTTTCAACAAATGGTGTTGGTACAACTGAATATCCACATGCAGAAGAATGAAGTTAGACCCCTACCTAACACCATATGAGAAAATTAACTCAAAGAGGATTACAGACCTAAAGGTAGGAGATATAAAACTCTTAAGAGAATAAATCTTCATGACCTTGGATTAGGTTTCTTAGATATGACATCAAAGCACAAACAACAAAAGAAGTAGATAATTTAGACTTCATTAAAATTAAAAACTTTCGTGCTACAAAGCAAGCCATAAAGAAAGTAAAAAGACAATCCACAGAATAGGAGAAAACATTTGCAAATCATATAACTAATAGGGGACATGTATGTAGAATATATTATGAGTTCTCACATAACTCAATAATCAAAAGACAATCCAATTATAAATTGGGCAGAGGATCTAACAGATAGGTTTCCAAAGAAGATATGCAAATGGCCAATAAGCACATGCAAAGAGGCTCACCATTAACCATCAGGAAAATATAAATCAAAATTACAATGAAATACCACTTCACACCCATTAAGATAGCTATAATTAAAAAGATGGATAATAATAAGTGTTGGTGTGGACGTGGAGAAATTAGAAACCTCATATACTACTGATGGGAATGAAAAATAGTGCAGCCACTTTGGAAACCAGTTTGGCAGTTCCTCAAAAGGTTAAGCATCGAGTTACCGTATGTCCCAACAATTCCACCCCTAGGTGTATACCCAAGAGAAATGAAAACATATATCCACAGAAAAACTTGTACACAGTTGTTCACAGTACCATTATTCTTCATAGCCAAGAAGTAGAAACAATCCAAATGTCCATCAACTGAAAAATGGATAAAATGTGCCATATGCATAAAATGCAATATTATCCAACAAACAGGAATGAAGTACTGCTATATGCTACAAAGTCAATGAACTTTGAAAACATGCTAAGTGAAGAAGCCAGTCACAAAAGGCCATATTGCATGATATCATTAATATGAAATGTCCAGAATAGGCAAGTCTACAGAAACAGAAATCAGTGGTTGCCAAGGGCTGGGGGTGGGGATGAGGGGGGAAAAGGGAGTGGCTGCTAATGGGTACAGGAGTTTTTGGGGATGATGAAAATGTTCTAAAATTGATTGTGACGATGTTTGCACAACCCTTTGAATATACCAAAAAACTGAATTGTACCCTTTAAATGGATTAATTGTATGGTATGTAAATTATAGGAAATCCTCATTATTCACATATTCCTTATTTGTAAATTGGCCTAGTTGCTAAAATTTGTAATTGCCAAATCAATACTCTTGGTGCTTTTGCGGTCATTTGCAGACTTGCACAGAGTTATGAAAAATCTGAGTTGCCAGATGAGCACGTTGTTAGCTGAGGTTGAACAAGGTGATGCTCTGCCTTTGTTTCATACTTCACACTGTAAACAAGTATCCTTTTCAAGTTTTACTTAGTGTCAAGTTTTCTGCATTGTTGTGCTTTTTGTTGGTGATTTCATTGTTTATAACGGCCCTTAAGCACAGTGCTGTAGTACTATCTAGTATTTCCAAGTATAAGAAGGCTGTGATGTGCCTTATAGAGAAAATAATGTATTAGATAAGCTTCATTCAGACAAGAGCTACAGTGCCGCTGGCCCTAAGTTCAATGTTAATGAATCAACAACATATATTAAATAAGGTGTCTTTAAACATAAAGACACATAAAGCAAGGTTATATATTGATTAGTTGACCAAAATGTGGTCAGAGGTTCACAGGAACCTACCTCTGTTTCTCCCCTAGGAGCAATGGTTTGGTTCAGATTTGGTTCAGTGTACTTTTACTACAACAACAATGAAATTATTTTCTCCCTTCAAAAACATTAAAAAACCAACTTCCAGCACTGATGAAGGAATTACCCCACTATGTCTCTCTCTCTCTCACTAACTGTAACTAAAAATTCTAGGAAATGCAGCCCATGGGATCTGGAGAGTGTAGGGAGGGGGTGGGTATCTTGAAAGAAGAGTGAGCTAGAAAAGTAGGTCCCTTAATCCTGTGTATGAACTGGCACATATCCCAGAACCACCCCTGAACCATGTGTGCATGAAACAGACCTAAAAGAATACAATAAAAGCTTTGAGAACGGAACTAACACTGGACCCACTGTTCACAGAAAGTGAAACAGAACTTATAGGCTGAACTTAATCAGGTTGATCGCCTGCTAAAACAAACAAACAAAAAAGATGCAACATTCTTCAGAGAATTTTAACAGAAACCAGAGTCTCACAATATAATATTCAAAACGGGACCCAGAAGAAAAGGTGGCAAGAGAATCCAGAATATAGATCCAAAGAGAGACAACTTTTCCTCTGACAGTAGGAATAGGTTAAGAATGGCAAAAAAGTTAATGGTTGAAATAGTTATTGTGTGATGGCTTCCATTTTCTTTATGAAAGTCTGAGAGTATGGGAATATGCAAGAACTTTAAGAAGTGTTTAAGGTTGAGAATTATCAGTGTGGGCCATGAGAGGGGCGCTGACAAAAGGCAAATAAGAAAAATGCTAAGCAGCACTGTGGACCCAGCTGTGATCATAAATCTTAAGCATGAATGTGGTATAAGTCTACACTATTAAAGTGTTTTCTCCAATAAGGCTGGATTACTTGGGAGCCTAAGAGAAAACACTGATCCCGGGTAGAGGATTTTCAGGGCTAGTGTGGCAGAAGGACAAGAAGAGGTTCCCACCACCAACGCTGCACCCTCAATTGAATAGTAAGGGCTAGGTACACCTCTTCCACGCTCAGTTAATGCCATATACCACTAATTACGTTGCTTCATAATTATCTGCTTATGCGTCAGTCTCTCTTCTTTAGACTGTCAGTGCTGTGTCTTGTTCATAGTTGTATGTCTGATATTTAGTATCTAAATAATGGCTAACACCTAACAAGTGCTCAATAAATGTTTGATTGATTGACTAATTCATTCAAAACATATTTAGCAAGAGACTACCAGGTACCAGCACTGTGCTAAAGGCTGTCCATACACTCGCAACCAAAATAGGCATGGTGCTTCTCCTCATGAAGCTTACAGATTAGTGGGAAATGTGTTAAACATTATAAAGGAAACTGGACTCTCTCTTGCTAACTGAGGCCTAAATTTTCTGTTGACCCCACATCAGTTTTAGAAGAAATGAAAACTTGAATAATACATATGTAACCAGTAATCCTTAACTTGTGACATTTTGTTTTGCAACTGACCTTTTACCAATGTTCCTATTATGCTGATCAAGATAAAGACAGACTGACACCAGTGGTCAGACCACCAGACCATGTCTGCAGACCCTGTTTTTTGTTAACAGTCACTAGGGAATTTGGACTGAAGCCAACATCCTGCTGTTTCAGCCCATATAATCTTTTCCCTACCCTTTTTTGGAACACCCACTCAAGATCTCCTTGGATTGGTACTTCCCTAGCCTGCAGACTGTAAGTGGACGAAATAAAATTCAACTTTCCTTGAACGTCTGACTCAGTGTTTTCTTCCAGGTTTAACATATTTGGTGTCAGAAGTGGGATCTGTGACCCTCCTCTTCTCCTGTGGCCGCCTCAAACCAAAGCAAGGCACCTGCAAGAGCCTGTTGTGCTCAGCTGTGTTCTAGGCAGCTCTGAGAGATTTCTCAGGTAAAGAGTCCACGGTCTGAACCTCCTGCCTTGGTCAAGGTTTGAGACTGCTTCCTCCAGAAAAAAAGCCTTTTCATTTTCAGTCATAGGGAAGCTTACAAATTTTTAGGGCACTGAAAGGACGTCTTCAAAGGTGAGTGCCATAGGGAACCCCTACTCTAGTCTTCTCTGGCAGAAATATCTCTTTCAGGTACTCCAGTTGGATACATGTATAAGAAATATAGAAAAGTCAGCTGTAGATGGCTGGATCTTTTGACCAAGATAACTCAGGATGATTTAAAATTACAATGGCCATGGGGCAGGCCCTGTGGCACAGTGGTTAAGTTTGCACATTCTGCTTTGGCAGCCAGGGGTTCGCCGGTTCAAATCCCAGGTGCGGATATGGCACCGCTTGGCAAGCCATGCTGTGGTAGGTGTCCCACATGTAAAGTAGAGGAAGATGGGCACAGATTTAGCTCAGGGCCAGTCTTCCTCAGCAAAAAGAGGAGGACTGGCAGCAGATCTTAGCTCAGGGCTAATCTTCCCCCCAAAAATAAGTAAATAAAAAATAAAAAATAAAATAAATAAAATTATAATGGCCTCAATGGGGCTCTTTTGAAATCCCTAAATTGCTTTACTTGCGCACACAATTGGAGCAACGAAAATATAGAACTTCTCAAAAACAAACAGAAGCTTATTTTGGTTGGTATGGTGAAGCTTCCAAGTGGGATTATGAGGCTACTATTGCCTCCTTTAGAGAAAACAATTCCAAATTTAACAAGCGTTTAGTTAAATTAGAAAAAGATTCTAAAACTCACAAAAGTGAAACTAAACTGTCTCTAGAAGTTTCCCTCTCCTCTGAACCCTGAGCACGTGACTCTTCTGAGCCTTCTCTGCCTTCAATCCCTCTTCTTCTTTCTCCACTCTACCCTTCTCTTCCCTCTTCTTCTTCTACTCTGTCTGAGCTGCCTTTCTTTTCTGCCTCAGAAATTCTAAATCTTTCAGGTAATTCTAAAACTGCTTTAACAGTCTCTTTTAAAATCCAACCCACTGGAAATTATAACTGCCAGGATACTTATGCCCCTTGGACCAAATCTGAACTTTTGGCTCTGGTAAAGGACTTTCCAAATCCAAAAACTAATTCTCATGAATTTGAACACCATTTCAGCCTGATTATAAATGCTTAGCAGCCAGGCTTCTCCAACCTATACCAGCTTATACTTATGCTAGTTGGAAATGTGGTAGCGTGCAAATGGATGTTGGCAGTTTCTTGGAAAAGACCTTGAGACGATATTAAACTTGCAGGGGCCCAAGGATTTGATAAGGCTCAGAAACAAGCCACCTAACTGCTCAAGGTTCTACCCCAAATTTTTCCCCCTCAAGTAAAGTGGAAAGCCATCCAATGCTATGTATAGAAAAAGGACAAATCTGTCCTTGATTATTTCAATAGATTCGAAAAAAATTTCAAAAAAAATCAGGAATAAAAGAGCTAACTGATGAGACCCCAATATCTATTTAATTCCATTGCTATGGCAGGTCTCTCCGATGTGCTCAATACTCGGATTAAACAACATGATTTAAAGCTAAACAGCCTTGGGCCGGCCCAGTGGTGCAGCGGTTAAGTGCACACGTTCCACTTCTCAACGGCCCGGGGTTTGCTGGTTCAGATTCCGGGTGTGGACATGGCACCGCTTCGCAAAAGCCATGCTGTGGTAGGTGTCCCACGTATAAAATAGAGGAAGACGGGCATGGATGTTAGCTCAGGGCCAGTCTTCCTCAGCAAAAAGAGGAAGATTGGCAGTACTCAGCTCAGGGCTAATCTTCCTCAAAAAAAACCCAGCTAAACAGCCTAATGAATTAGCTCACTAGTTAATCAATTATCTAAGACTTTAGAAAATGATAGAGGAAACAAGACAACCCGAGTCTTAGACTACCAAGAAAAGACTGCCAAACTTAGGACTTTACAACTAAAACAGTTTAAAAAGGGGGCCCCAAATCCTTCGGGACCCCAGAATTAAAAAGCTTGCTTCTTTTGCAAATGTACTGGACACTTTAAAAAGGACTGTCTAAAATATAAACGGTGGCTTGCACTCCATCCAGCCTGACAAGGCCCCTCAGCCGCCTCCTTCACAACAATAGGGCTGCTTTGGGGAATTACAGGGGACATTTCCCCTGTTAAAAGCAGACTAATTAGGGGAAATAGATACAAAAATTTGGGATGATTTAGTTCAAGCACTGGTTGATACTGAAGCCACCCTTCCTGTCCTCAACCCTGACACACTTTCCATGTCCTCTCCCCAGAATTCCGAATTTGTTCAAATGGTCGAGGTCAATAACAATCCTGTATCAGTACCTAAGTTTTTACCTATCCCCTTCCAATTAGGGCCTCTAGCAGGAAGCCACAGCTTCTTCCTTGTCTTGTCTGCTCTCATATAGCTCCTTGGGAGAGACTTTTTAGAAACCTATAAGGCTCATATCTCTTTCTCTCCAAAGGGAAAAATGATGCTTGAACTTTCCTCACCAGGAGATTATGCTACAGAAACAGTTCCCACTTAGATTTCCATCTATTCAGTAAGCCATGCTGACACTGTTCACCCAGTTACCCAAGAGATACCTGACAATTTATGGGCTCAGTCCAACACTGACATCGGACATAGTTATTCTGCTCCTCCTCTTAAGATTCAAATAAATCCTAATAAGCCCCTTCCTAACATTAAACACTACCCTTTAAACCCTGAAGCCCTTGCTGGCATACAGCCTATAATAGATGATACACAAAAGGGACGAATCACTCCCTGCACCAGTCCTTGTAACAACCCCATTTCACCAATCTGCAAACCCAATAATGGAGGATGGCAATTTGTTCAGGACCTTAGGGCCATTTATAACACAGTAATTCCCTGATACCCTGTGATTCCTGACCCTCATACTCTTTTGGCCCACGTTCCTCTCGATAGTCACATTTTACTGTTATTGACCTCTGTAGTGTCTTCTTTAGCACTGACCCTGACAGTCAATATCTTTTTGCCTTCACGTGGAAAGGGCAACAGTACCCCTGGACTGTCCTTCCTGGAGGATGTACTGAAAGCTCCACATATTCTTCCCAAATTTTTAAGGCTGATTTGGCTAGCATCTCTTTCCCTTGCGAATTTACTTTGCTCCAATATGTGATTTACTTTTCTGCTCCCCTTCTCAGGAAGCCTGCCTTACTGATATCCTTCATTTGCTCCATGATTTTGTCTCTTAACAGCTACAAGGTTTCTAGGGAAAAACTTCAATTTCATTTAACTTCAGTTAAACTTTTCAGGACACCTCCTAATTCCAGAAGGCCTCAATCTTGACTTCTGCAAAGCATATTAGCTTTCCCTCTTCCCAAAATAAAAAGACAACTCTCAGGAGTCCTCAGACACATGGGCTACTGTTGAACTTGCCTCCCTAATTTTTCTTCAATGTCTCAGCCACTTTATAATCTCCTTAAAAATTCCTCTCCCAACCCTATCCAATGGACCCCTGATGCTGAACAATCTTTTAAAGAAATCAAGACTCAATTAACTCTAGCCCTAACACTAGGACATCCTAATTATTATCTTCCCTTTCACCTGTTTACCCATGAACAGGCTGGAAATGGCTTTGGTGTTCTTATCCAGCCTCAAGGAGGACAAAAAAGACCTATTGATATTACAGCCAACAATTAGACCCTGTTGCTCAGGGACTTCCCCCTTGCCTCAAAGTGGTTGCTGCCATTTCAGTTCTCATTAAGGGTACAGAAAAAATTGTTATGGGATCCCCCTTTACCATTCATGCTCCTCATTCTGTTGAATCTCTCCTTAACTCACATAATTCTCAACATTTTTCTCCTAGCCATCTGACAAACTGAAATTCTTCTCCTCTCCTTGCCTCATTTAATTATTTCTCCCTGCAACCTACTTAACCCTGCTTCCCTACTCCCTCTCCACAACAAAAATCTCTCTCTTGACTGCATTACTTTGAGCAGCTTGTTACCTCAGTGAGATCTCCAAGCAACCACCATACCTGATGCTGATTATGAATGGTTCACTGATGGGTCCCACTTACAAGACCCTGCAGGGAATATTATACAGGATATGCAGTTGTCTCCTTAGCAGAAATTATTGAATCTGTCCCACTAGCTGACGCCAGATCTGCTCAACAGACCTAACTGCATGCACTTACTAGAGCTCGCAATTTGGCCAAAGACAAAATGCAAATATTTACAAAGACAGCTGATATGCTTTTGGGGTGGCATGCAACTTTGGCATGCTTTGGAAACAGAGAGGTTTTCTTACCTCGGCTGGATAAACTGTTAAAAACAAAAATTATGTTTTGGCATTGCTTGATGCCATTCAGGTCCCTAGAGGTGTAGCAATCATGAAAACTCAAGGTCACTCCTCAGGCCAAGATCAAGAGTCCTTGGGAAACAAAATGGCTGATATTGCTGCCAAGTCAGCTGCCTCCCAAAAGGTTGCTTCTATGCTCCCAACGCCCCTGTCTCTCTTTAGCCTCCAAATCTGGATTTGGATCAGACTTGCTTAAAGCACAAGCACTGTCTCTGGAGGAAGAAAGGAGGAAATGGGAAGGACGGGGATGTTACTTTGATTTTGACCAGCACCTTCGGAAGGGGCCCAATCAGCAGCTGGTTCTTCCACGGAGTCTTCAAAAGGAAATTTTAACCTTCATTCATGATCTGACCCATTGGAGCACTGATAAGATGATCCAATGGGCTAAACAATATACCTGGGGACCCTTACCTGCTGTTGTCCATCAGGTCTATCAGTTATATAAAATCTGTCCTCAGTATAATTCTGCTAAATCTGTACATGGAATACAGGGGCATTTTCCTCTTCCTGATGGTCCATTTGATGTATGGCAGATGGATTTTATTCAACTTCCCCCTTCTCAAGGTTATACTTATGTTTTAGTTCTTAGTGCATGTTTTCACATTGAGTTGAAGCCTTTCCATGCAGACAGGCCACTGCCACGGCAATAGCCAAAGTACTACTGGAACAAATTACTCCTACCTGGGGAGTTCCTCAAGAGCTTCATAGCAATCACAGTACCCATTTCACAGGACAAATTATTCAAAATATGTGTAAAATCTGGCCAATTTATCAGCATTTCAATTATGCATACCATCCTCAGTCCTCTGAACTCGTGGAGCACAAATAGTAGCATTAAAACTCAACCAGCAAAAATCTGCTCAGCTTTTACTTTGCCATGGCCTAAAGCCTTGCCCCTGGTATTGCTCAACGCCCATTCAACTCTAACAGGTAAAAATAAACTTTCTCCTTTCAAGATCTTCACTGGTTGACTAATGCATTCGGAGAAGGACTCTTATCAGCCAACCCTCTTAAAGGGGGATCTTGTGCACAATTATACAGAACTGTCAAATCTCTTACAGGCCAATTCTAACTTTATAAGATTTCTTTAACAGTGTGCTGCCAGGAGATGAAGGCCACCCACATGATTGAAAGTCTGGTAACTTCGTATCCTAGAAAAGATGTCAATTAAAGAACTCCCTCCAGCCTTAGTGGAAGGGACCCTATTAGGTACTTTTAACCAATCCATGCACAGCTAAGTTACAAGGCATTGATTCACAGATACAAGTTTCTCATCTAAAAAAGGCTCCAGATCCTACTTCTAAATGGACTGCTGAACCTGTCACCGAGAAGAGACTGAAACCAACCAAAACCAGAGCACCCTCTCGTGGCCAGGAAGCAGACGACATCCGAGGTAGACAGCTCACCCAAGATGCGGGACTAGGCATTTATACCCTTCCCAGACATGTTTTGCCTAGTTATATTCTTTTCTTTATATTATTGTGGCCTTACAAGGAAAAACAATGCTATAGTATGTTCTCGCAGGTTTTGGCTTCGGCTGGATATTTAACTGAACACTGGATATGCCACTTCATTCCCTCTGGGTCGTTTATCTGGGAGTAATGATCTGTTGGTTACTCCTGTTACTAATTTTTCCTCTATATCCAAGTATAAGGTTACCTTCAAATCCAAACCACCTAATTTCAGTTATCAAGTTCAGTTGGTTCCTTCCACTTTTTTCTTGACAAAGCCTCAATTTATTCCTCTTCCCATGCCCTCAGATAAACAAAATGACCCTGGCATCTACCCTTGTACCTTGTCAGTCATGGTACCATCTGGTGAGGATACTGTAAAAACTGTATCTTTTTCCCAGCCTATGTCCCTCCTATATTTAACATCTAAGAGATTCAACTGAACTGATAAAGATCGAGACACACCATGACGTACAAGGATAAGAAAGAAAAAACATAATCTCAAGGGTCACTCACACTTCTGTCTATTCATAAGTATACCAAAGGGAAACTCACTTTGCCTCTTTCTTATCCATGGTTTCAAAATCTAACCACCTTACTACTTGTAAATGCCTCTATAAAGTTTAAAGAAGGTACTGGAATTTTACCTGCTCCCTCTGGATATATCTATCTTTGTTTGTGGACACAGAGGACAGGCATGGGGTTTTCCCTGCCTAGATTCCCAGTGTACGGAAGGCACCTGTTTGCTTGGGTATTTAACCATACCATTCATAATTTTACAATCTGACCCTTATTTTGCTTCTAGCTCTTCGAAAAAATGGGTTCTGTCTATCGTAGATGATCTTCCTGATGACAATCTGCCGACTATGAAGAACAGGTACAGTCACTCTCAATGGTGTGATTTACCAGGAGGAGTTAACCCTAGGGAAGGGGCCAGGTTAGGAAGAATATTGGGATCCTGGCTGGGATCAGTACAGCCTGGAATGAATTTTTCGGGGAAGTGGGAGAATTCCCCCCACCGCTTTTCCTTAAGGTTCTTATGGCTGGTTAAATAATCAAAGAGGCAGGTTAGCAAGAGAAAATCAAACAAAATTTAACAGCATGTATACATGGGAAAAACCCAGAAGAAACTGAGTAACTCAGCCATCTGGCTAAGTCCGCCTGTTTAAGTATGCTCAGCTACAGACAAGGAGGACATTGGGGTTAAAGATCTGGGACTTCAAAGGGGAGGAAGACAATCTACATAGAGATGGAATGCAAATGTTAAACAGGTTTTGCTAGGCCCAAAAAATGGGTTTGTTGGTGTCCTTTTATCACACCTATTTTACATCCTACTATAGCTATCACATGATATGAGCTCCTTCCTGGAACAGGCCTTCTATGTTAAAGTCCTTTAGGCAGTTTTGGGGGGGAAGGTCGGATGTTCTTCCTGAGGCTTTTGAGCCTTTATTGTCTTCAGCTTGAAATAGTCTGCATAACATAGTGGCACATCTTGGGGCGGCCTGCCTGAATCCCATCAAATACATGATAAGAAACCTCTTCCAGACTATGAGAAGGATAGTTAGGTCTAAGCCCAACAAAAATCTTTAGATTCTCTGGCCCTGGTCACTGTGGATAATAGAATAGCTTTAGATTATTTGCTAGCTGCTCAAGGAGAAGCATGTATTGTGGCTAATACCTTCTGTTGTACTTGGATCAATACTTCTCCTCAGGTAGAACTAGAAACTTCTAAAATTTTAAAACTAGCCAAATCCTTAAAAGGTCAACCAGTTCCTGGATCCCTTAATTGGTTTCATTTCCCTTTTACCGACCTGTTCAGTTGGTTACCTGATGGTCTGGGTTCACTACTGTGCTCAGGTGTTCAGCTTGTCATAATAATAATAATTATATGCATGAGATTATGGATTATAATTAAAATAATAATGATGTGTGTCTCACACTGCTTACGCACCACACCTGCTCGAGTTACGCTAATGCAACCTGCTAGACTATGCCTAATGTTATATATACTGATGTATAATGAGATCCCTTCCTTCTTGAGAAAGTGCATAGAGGATTTGTCATAATTGTCTCTGATGCTTCTGACATAAGCAGAGAGGAAGTCCCATCATGAGGACTAGCGGCCATTCTGGCCTCAAAATGGGACAATTAATCTAATTAACCCCCTTAATCAATCATTTGCACTGCCTATAGACAGGTATCAATTGAAAGGGGTAAATATTAAATGCTATAAAAGAAACTGCACTTTCTCTTGCTAACTGAGGCCTAAATTCTTTTCTGTTGACCCCACGTCAGTTTCTCAGGAGAAATGGAAACTTGAGTAATGTATATGTAACCAGTAATCCTTAACTTGTGACATTATGTTTTGCAACTGACCTTTTACCAATGTTCCTATTATGCTGATTAAGATAAAGACAAAGACAGACTGACGCCAGTGGTCAGACCACCAGACCATGTCTGCAGACCCTATTCTTCGTCAGTGGTCATTTGGATTGAAGCCAACAACCTGCTGTTTCAGCCCATATAATCTTTTCCCTACCCTCCCTCTTTGGAACACCAACTCAAGACCTCCTTGATCACTGCTTCCCTACATCCCACAGACTGTAACTGGACGAAATAAACTTCAACTTCCCTTTAACCTCTGATTGTTAGTGTTTTCTTCCAGGTTAATTCATGTAAATAAAGAAATACTTACCAATTGTTTGTGTCCTGAGAAGGAAGCAAACAGAATGCGAAGAAAGAGAAAAGCAGAAGAGTGGAGACCTATTTTTGATAAGATGCTCAGAGCAGCCTTTTCTAAGGAGGTAAAATTTAAGTGGAAACCTGAAGGATGAAGAGAGATCAGCTTTGTGAAGAAAAAAGGGGAGAATATCCAAGTAGACGGAAAAAACATATGCAAAAGGCCTGAGGTAGGAAAGAGCCTTGCATACCTCAGGGTATACAAATGACAATGTAGAATGAAACATGACAGTATACCCTTAGGCCAACCTCATAGACCCAAACTAAAAACCACAAAAGAGCTACAGTTTAGTCCTTAAAACCTCAGCCCAAATCCTACTTTCTCCCTTTATGCCTCCTTTTCTTTCTGCTCTATTAAAAGGGCCAAGAGGAAATTTCTCTTTATCTCTTTCATATAGCCTAACAATGCTGGCTGCCTAAAGGCTGTTTTTAAAATAACATAAAACTACAAGATAGAAATTACCCAGACACTGGTAAAATTCTAATGGGAATAAACCAGACTTCAGTTAAGTCATGGAAAAATCTTAGTAGACCAGGGTATTGTAACATTTGCTTGAAAAACTACAGATCTTAACTCAATACACCAAAACTCAGGCAATATAACCCTAACAAGCTCCAGCATGAACTCTGAATAGTTTATTTCTTGGTGATCCTTCCTATGCTCTACGAGCTTACTGATGTAGAGAGCTAGTCCTTGTCATTGGGTGGAAGATCCTCCGGCCCCCATCCCCTCAGAAACCACTCATTTCTTCCTCTCTCACACCATAAAGACAATGGCCACCATTTATAAGAGAACATACATACCAAATATAGTTTTTCCAATAGGCAACAAGTGCTCCTGATAATACCCAAGGTTTCAGTGAGAGCCCTAAAGGAGCTAATCTTAGGTCAGGATAGGTTTTAAACACCATGAAACAAAACAAGAATCTGATTTTTGCTCAGCCTTACTGCTCCCAGCTCAGTAGGTGCCTATAATCCTGTTTAAATTTACTGTTCATTCTCTATGGTCTCCTCTACCTGTCTTCTTCTGGAAGCCTCTCTCTGGTGCTTGGGTGGCAGATGCTGAGGGCCATCCAGAAGCAAATCCTCTCGCCATCTTTCAGCTGTCCCAACAGATGGCTGCTGCCTGAAGTATAAGCTCTAAAAGATACAAAAGCACTCACCAAATTGTGTGAGCAGTGACATAACGGTAGTGAAAATTCTCTAGGCTGAAGTGACAGCCCTGAGGTAATCTAAATAGGTAAGAATAGTCTGAAACACTATGGCATAAAAGTAAACATTATACTTCTTGCCACTCTCATGGATCTTAACTGTATCCACAAAGCAGTCATAAGTTTTCACCTATAAAACAAGGATAATAACAGTATCATCTCCCAGGATTATTGTGAGAACTAAATGAGACAACAGATACACAGTTCTAGAACTATTTTGGCTATGGTAACTACGTAATGAATGTAAGTTGTTATTCATAATAATATTAATATTATTGATAGTATTAATAAGAGATAACACTATCATCATCATCATTATTGTTGTTAGTAGCATAGCTCTGGTAAGCCAGATCAAACTCTAATTTACTTTCTGTTGCTTATTCTTGACTATACTCTGTTCTATCTGCTCTCTGGGAATGCCTGGATCCTGAATTTTATCTAACACTTATTCATGGCACTCTGGAAATAATTCCTTTCTCATTTCTCATCTGTCATATTATGTGATGCTTGTCCATGGTTTCTGTGCTAAAAGACAACATAAGCATTGAACACGAATTGTCCAAGTTAGGATCATCGTGCCAGAGCAATAGTAAAAGCTTCAGTGAAGAAGCTGAAGTAGTTTCTATAGGTCAGAACGGTGTTACACATCACAGAACAAGAGGACATTATAGTTTTGCCCATTATTATTGATCTTAACACTAAACCGCTGAAGCAGTTACTATAGCGCCCTGTCAATCTTGAGCCAAAAACTAAGCAATTTACTCTCCGCTACTTAATCCTCACTACATCTTGCTCTACTTATTTTCTGGGAGAGGCTAGGTCTTAAATACTGGGGGAAACATACCGATGGCACTCCAGGAGAAATTCCTCTTTCAATCTCCCATTTCTCAAAAGATGAGGGTTGCTTGAGACACTTGTTCTAACGGGACAACAAAATACAAAATTAAATGACTAAGAAGAAATGATGGGATAGTGACAATCACACAGACTTCAGTGACAACCCCAGTCTGATACTATGGGAGGATAATATAACACAGTTGGGGCGGGGGTGTGTGTGCACACATGTGACTAATATGAAATTTCCAAACGTATACCAAAGTAGAAAAATAGTATAATAAATCCCAAGATGCTCATCACCCAGCTCCAACAATTAGTGAAATTTTGTTTTTTCATCTGTTTCTTCTCCCACTTTTCTCCTGGAGTATTTTAAAGCAAATCCCAGACTATTCTGGCACTTTTTAAATTTTTGCATGGGGTAACTCTCTATTCAACAATACATTTGAAAGAAGATAAGGCAACAAGGCATTCTTTTTTATAACATTACTAGCATTTTCCCAATGTTAAGTCAACAAGCCGACATCATTGCCACACGTACTCCTATTTGGTGTTCCCAATAACTCCATTCACAAACAAAGAGGTGGTGAAGTTTGGGAAGTTTTGAGGCAGCAAACAGCTTGTTTTGTCCTTCATCATAATTGGTTTGCAAACTGGATACCTGGTTTTGTTGTACTGCTTCAGCTGACCAAGAATAGAATCCTTCAGCATTTACAAGACTAAATGTATAAGGCCAAATATGCTCAAGGACCTGAGTTTAGGAAGAACAATTTACTGCTAACCAATCAACATTATTAAAAAACCTGCCTTGTTTAACCTAAACGACAGAGGTATGTTCTCTCATCTGGACTCTTTAGAACTGGCACATTTTGAAATAACTGAAGACGTTATACTCTTAGACTAACTCTAGAAGCCTTAATTCTATGTATCCTACATGCAAGCTAGCTTGACAAGCTCCAGCCCAAATCTTAAGTAATTTCATCTGTTACTCTTTTAGAAGGTAGACAGTCCTCCCACCGTGTTCCACTCTATCTGTTCTCTGGAAGAGGCTTGGTCCTGGATTTTATGTTTAACAAACTGATGATACTCCTGAGGCAATTCATCTCCATCTTCTCTCATAAAAGATGATGGTTGCTCGAGAAACATGTTCTAAAGGAACAACAAAAACAGAAAACAAATTGTCTAACGAGGGCAACACGCTAATCATAATATTGTAAGCTTCAGTAAGAACTCTAAGGATGTTATGCTTTTAGCCCAATTGTTGAGAATGTATGAACTCCAGTTACTTTATTTCCTATCTCTTTTTATTCTGCTCTACCTGATCTCTGATGCAGGCCTGGTCCTGGAGTTTGGGAGGCAGATACTGATAACCTGCTAGAGAAAAGTCTTCTCTCCCTTTCTCATTTGTGGTATCAGAATATGGCTCCTTGAAGTGTACTTTCTAAAAGAGAAAAACACACAAACTGTAAATTGTCCAGTGAGAGTAATATCATACCCATAATATTCTAAGCTTTATTGAGAGCCTTAGGGTAATTTTTTGAACTCAGGATAATGTGAAATATTATGGAATAAAGCAGAAAACCATTCTGAAGTCAATTCTGAAGTCTAGCTGAGAGCAGTGTTTGCAAGCTGCAACCTAAACCCTAAACAATTCAGTTCCTACCGGTCTCTCTTTTTTCTGTTCTACCTTGCCCCTGCTGGAGGCCTGATCTTCATGCCTGTGTAGATCCTGATGGACATCCAGAGGAAACGCCTCTCTCTCTCTCCCACCTATCAAAATTGATGCTGGCTCCTTCAAATTTGCTTTCTAAAAAAGAACAAACACAAATATCAATTGTTCAGTTAAGAAAGACAGGTTAACAGATAATACTTTCGGCCATAGTGAGAATTTTAGAATTAACTGAGGTCAGAGTATAACCGGACATCTTATGGAATAAAATAAATCATTATACTCTATTCCATGTAAGCCCACCCATAACCCTAAGTAATCTACTTCCTGCTGATCCCTTTCTTCTTCCTTTCAGTCTAACTGATCCCTGGTGGAGGGTAGGCCTTGGAACCTGGATAAAAGATACTGTTAGACACTCGTGGGCCACTCCTTTCTCCATCTGTCAGCTGTCAAAGCAGATGATGGCTGCCAGAAATAATTTTCCTAATGAAGAAGATACAAAAAAAGTAAATTTTCCAGATAGGGGTAACCTGCTACTGATAATACTTTAACACTTACGGAGAATCCTGAAGTTTTGAGAAATCAATCAGGAGAACTATTTTTTCCAACTATGAGCGTTCAAATCAGCTATAATATAGGCCTTGCAAAACCCACTCCAAACCTTAAGTAGCTTATTCCTTCTTATTATATCTCCCTTCCATTCTATTTTACCTGATCTCTGGGTAGAAAATCCGGGTCTTCGGGTGGAAAATCCTGGTCCTGACATTTGGACAGAATATTCTGGTCTTTGGAGAGAACATGTTGGTCTTTGGGTCGAAAAGCTTGGTCCTGATATGTGGGTAGAATATTCTGGTCTTTGGGGAGAAAAGCCTGATTTAGGGGTTGAAAATCCTGGATTTTCAATGCAATTCTCTCATCTTCTGGTTCAGTACTCTGGGCTTCCAGCATAATACCCTGAGTTTCTGTCTTAACATCCTGGGCTTTAGGCTGAATGGCCTGGGCTTTGGGCTCAATGGCTTGGCCTTCCAACTCAATAGCCTGGGTATCTGGCTCAATACTCTGGGCTTCCAGCTCAACACTCTGGATTCCTGTCAAATCACCCTGGGTTTCCAGCAGATCACCTTGGGCTTCTGGAAGATAATCGTGGGTTTCTGGCAGAATATCCTGAAGGCCCTGAAGAGCTAACCGTTCTAGTTCTTTCTCTTCCATCACAGCAAATAATGGATTTTTGAAGTGTACTTTCTAAAAGTGAACATAAACATTAAATATAGAATGCCAGGTAGTAACAACGCTCTAGATTTTCCATGAGATTCCTAAAATAATCTTAAAAGGATATGGCAGTCAAACAAATTAATAGAAAGAAATGTGAAATTATAGTCTTGGATCAACTTAACAGAACCTGAATTTACAATCCCAAACCAGTACGATAGTACTGGCACCCCTAGTCCAAATCATAATTAGTTTAATTTCTCTTATACTCTCTCTTCTTACTCTGCTTTACCTGAACTCTGCTGAAAGGTTTGTCCTTGTCTTCACAAAGGAGATCCTGCCAGCCCTCCCAAAACAAATTCTCTCTCCCTTTCTTGTCTACCGTAATAGATGAAGACTCCTCAGACTCAGGTTCCTAAAGAACACACAAACAAAAATGAAACACCAAAAAAAACCCAAATGTATCTATTACAGGCAGAAACAATGTGACTGCAATAAAATCCTAGGTTTCAGCACACTACTAACATAATTTTAGAAGTTCAGCATAGTCAAATATTATAAAAACAGGACACTACAAAAGAAGTGCAAGACTACACTAAAAACTATAAAACATTGTTGAAAGACATTAAAGAAGATCTAAATAAATGGAAAGACATTCCCTGTTCATGGACCTCAGAAGACAATACTGTTAAGACAGCAATAAACCCTCATATTTATAGTCAATTGATTTTCAACAAGGGTGCCAAGACACTTCAATGGAGAAAGAATAGTTTTTTCAATAAATAGTACTGGGACAAGTGGATATCCACATGCAAAAGAACTACGTTAGAACACTTCCTCACACTATATATAAAAACTAACTCAAAATGGACTATAGACGTAAACTGAAGAGCTAAAATTATAAAATTCTTAGAACATCACAAAGAAGAAATCTTCATGACCTTATATTAAGCAATAGTTTGTTAGATACTACACCAAAAGTATGAGCAATGAAAGAAAAAATAGATAAATTGGACTATATACCAAAATTAAAAATTTTGTGCTGCAAATGATAGCATTAAGAAAGTGAGGGGCTGGCCCCGTGGCCAAGTGGTTAAGTTTGCGCCCTCCGCTGTGGCAGCCCAGGGTTTCACCAGTTCAGATCCTGGGCGTGGCACGGCTCCACTCGTCAGGCCATGATGAGGCGGTGTCCCACATGCCACAACCAGAAGGACATGCAACTAAGATATACAACTATGTACCGGGGGGGATTTGGGAAGATAAAGCAGGAAAAAAAAAAAAAAGCTTAGCAACAGTTGTTAGCTCAGGTGCCAATCTTTAAAAAAAAAGAAAAGAAGAAAGTAAGAGAAATGACAACGTATATAATGAGAGAAAATATTTGCAAATCCTGTATCTGATAAGGGACTTGCATCCAGAATATATAAAGAACTCTTACAACTCAATAAGAAAAAAATAAATAACCCAATTAAAAAATGGGCACCACATTTGAATAGGCATTTTCTCCACAAGAGATATATGAATGGACAATAAGAACATGAAAAAATATTCAAGATCATTAATCATCAGGAAAACACAAATCTAAAAGTACAATGAGATATCACTTCACATCTAGTAGTATAGCTACAACCAAAAAGATGGACAATAACAAGTATTGGAGAGGATGGGAAGAAACTGAAACTCTCACATATTGCTGATGGAAGAGAGTTTGGTAGTTCCTTAAAATATTAAACATAGAGTTACCATATGATTCAGAAATTCCACTACCAGAGAAATCAACGTCCACACAAAAACATGACACAATTGCTCATAGCACAATTATTCATAAAAGCCAAGAAGTGGAAACAACCCAAATGTCCATCAACTGATGAATGGCTATACCAAAAATAATATAGCCATACAATGGAATATTATTCATAGTAAAAAGGAATGAAGAACTGACACATGCTACAATGTGGATGAACTTTGAAAATATTATGCAAAGTGAAAGAAGCCAGTCACAAAAGACTACATATTATATGATTCCATTTACATGAAATGTCCACAATAAGCAAATCTATAGAGAGAAAAAGTAAATTAGTGGTTGCTTAGGACCAGGGGTAAGGACAGGCAGGGAATGGGGAGTGAAAGCTAATGGGTACAGGGTTTCTTTCAGAGGTAAAGAAAATGTTCTAAATTAGACTGGGCAACAGTGGTACAACCCTGTGAATATACTGAAAACCACTGACTCGTACGCTTTAAATGTGTGAACTCTGTGGTATGTGAATTATATCATAATAAAACTGTTAAAAAAAATGCTGGACACTACAATCTTAACCCTTAAACCCCTTCTTAATAAGCTGTAGATAGTTCTAGTAAGCCTTTATTTTTCCCTCTACTCTTTATTTCCCTACCTGATTTTCTATACATTTCTGGTAGTGTACAGTATTTAAAAGATAAAGGGTAATTCTCCTCTTGTTCCTATATTTATCCTGAAGAATGCTGGTTTCCCACAAAGTACTTTCCAGAAAAAAAAGAAAAACCAATACAAATACAAATGGTCTAGAGAAAGCAATATGCTCATGATACTAAGTCGAACTTTTGTAAAAGATCTGAAGTGATCTTGGAAAGTTACAGTAGTCTAACATAGAATAAAGGAAAATAAATATGCATTCTACTTCAAATGTACAAACAAATCACTCATAGATCAAACATATGGAGTGAAATAGGCTAGTTAGGAGGCCATATTAACTTTATAAATGACAATTTGCCCCTCTCCTAGCCAGTAACAATTTCAGAAGGCTTATGGTTTTGTCTTGGTGACCTGACAGTAGGCAAGTAAGTATATCTTCTATTTGTATCTCCAAATCTGGAACAACAATAACAACCAGACGGACTCCAATGTCAGTAAAAATAAGTCTAACAAGGAAATGAAACCAGCGTTCAGCTGGGTTATAGATTGTTCTCCTTTCTGACCAGCTGACTCCCACTGCACAAACCGAGGAGGGAGAAAACTGTTCAGGTTTGAGGGAAAGAATACCTGCTTGACATAAATTATAAGAAAAATTTCACTAATTTCTTAGATCATTCTCCATTATACGGAGTTTCTTTTACCTGAAAAACAAACATGCATTCTTCGGAAGCAAGCAGCCAGCCTGAATTCATCATCATCATCATAACAATAATAAATTACACTTAAATGGCACCTCTGACGTGTAAAACTGGTTTCTACAAGGATGTTATCACAGACTTAATCCTCCTCCTTTCTACTGGATTTTTATTTCAGTCAGACCTGTGAACAGTACTCATTCTGGAAAAATATCAGTTGAAAGGTTTGAACATGTTCCACACAATACAAAATATCACTCTCTAGGATCTGACAACCCCTTTTTTTTCTGGTTTATTAGAATGTGTCCAATCACCTCATTCTAACAATATCCTGACTCAGTCTAACAGCCCAAACTACAGTACAGCCAAATCCATGGTAGGTATGAAAACTGTCAAGATACCAAGCCACTGAGAAGAATTTGAGTACAAAAGAAACCCTATCTTGAGAGTCACAACAACGCAATGCCAGAAAAAGTTAACCACACTAAATGCATCTAGGATGGAATGCCATATGTGGACACACACCAATGCCTAATTGTTTTTTTTACGTTTAAATTTCTTAATTATCACTGAAGAGGGAGACATCATAGAACTGCAAACATTTCAGACAAATGTTTTTGTTGTGTTGAGATACTTAAGGAAAAAATGCAAAAATAAAACATATATATATAATCTAGGAAAATGTAAAAGAATACCAATTAGGAAACAAAACTGAGGAAGAACTAAATAAGAGACAGAGTTGATGATGGCAAAAAATAAATAAGTAATAGAATTAAAAAGACTAATGGTGCATTTTACTCGATGCTGCCTATTAAAACTTGAAATTAATGTCAAAAGTAAGTAAACACAGGAAAATACATGAGTTTAGCATCCAAATTTGTGAATACTGAAATAAGCAGGCACCAAAACAATGTCATTTTATAAATATAGTCTTTAATATCCTTTTAAGTCTGGCTCCACATTTATGCTCCAATTTTCCACTCTCACCTTATATTTTGAATCAAAAGAATTTCTTTCTTTCTTTCTTATTTTTTTTGAGAAAGATTAGCCCTGAGCTAACATCTGCTGCCAATCCTCCTCTTTTTGCTGAGGAAGACTTGCCCTGAGCTAACATCCGTGGCCATCTTCCTCTACTTTATATGTGGGACGCCTACCACAGCATGGCTTGCCAAGCCATGTCTGCACCTGGGATCCGAACCAGTGAACACTGGGCCACCAAAGCAGAACGTGCACACTTAACCGCTGCACCACCAGGCCGGCCCCTCTTTCTTTCTAAAGAATAATGGTATTGATTTTTCCTGCTTAGAAAGTAAAATATACATATATATATATTATGGAAAAATTTTTAAAGTAAACAAAAAGAAGAAAATTAAAATCACCTGTACTAACACTACCCAGAAATCATCAGTATTAACTTCTTGGTCCATTTCTTTCCAGGCTTTTGTCTATGCACATAACATGCTCTCCTCATCTCTTTATTTTGCTTTACTTTTTTCATAGCACTTCTCATTTGAAATTATATTCTATATTTATTTGTTTATTATACGCTTCCCTACAGCATAGAAGCTCCTTGAGAGATCTTTGTCTATCTTTTCACCACTGTAAGTACTGCTTCTAGAAGAATGTCTGGCAATTGCAGACATTCCCTAAATACTTGCTGAATGAATTTTTTTAACTGAGATTATATTGTACAGAATTTTGTATCCTACTTTTTTCACTTAACTTTATATCACAGACACTTTCTCTTGTCTTCAGATCTTCTTTGAAAGCATGATATTTTTTAGAATGGCTATATATGGATACACCAATTTTTTAACCATTCCCTACTATTGGATATTTAAGGTTATTCCAATTATTTTACAGTTCTAAATAATTGTGAGATGTAAATAAATCTTTATCTGTATTTTTATCTGCGTTTTTAAAAAGAATTTATTAGAAATTAATTTACCTCTTGGGTGGGAGAGCTTTTCCTTCTACCATCTGGAAACACTGATGCATTTTTACTCACAGTTTTAAAGGATGCCAACTGGTGACGTGCCTGTTTCATGGTTTGACTAAGCTGCCAGGGAAAGGGGAAAAAAAAGCAAAGAAAACAGGCTAAAGTCTTAATACCAAATTCACTAAGGGTTCCAACAGGAAAACAGGCCCCTATTATTAAAAAAATGCCAGACCTAAGACAAGAGGATTAGTTGCAAAGGAAACTTTGATCTGATAGTGTTTTTACAAGATTAGTTTGGTTATTTTAAGAGACTGCATTTCATAACTTGATTTAAGTGCTGTTACTCAAATCATTTCTAATAATGTATGCTTTATATTAAGTATGTACACAAAAATATCAGAAGCTAAAAGGTTGAATTAACACACTTTGAAATTATTGAGCAGACACATTCCTTACCTTCCATCCATCTTCTCAATAAGGAGTTATTTCTTCAACTGGCCCTTGCATGCCTAATCACTTTTATCACTTCTTGCTGGAAGACTCTATTCCTAGTCCCCCTAAAATCCTTTTTTCCATTTATATGAATCCCTTCTTCATGCCTAACATTCGAAGACTGCAGCTATTTAAAGTCTTTTCTCAAATCTCCCTTCTTCCAGGAAGCATTCCTAAGTTAACCTAGAACACAAACTCAAACATCTCGACAGAACCAATTTGTTTCAAGTACTCTAAGTAACAGCTGATAAAGAGTATTAATATTAAATATGTTGACTTTGTGTTCATTCCTTACCTCTACCTAGCAATTTCAGTAAGCACCTATTTTGATTTCTTTTTCAACGAAGCCCAGCCTATTTTATATTTCACAAATCTGCACAGAACGTTCCTTTAAGGAAAATATAGAAATGAATAAAGTATCATTTTTAGGCTGAGCACTGCATCATGTGGAAGAAAGCATATCCTTACACTACTCAGTGAAATTATGGCAAAGCCAGGACCAGTTCTAACCCATCCACTGAAAATTCAATGATATCAATACTCCCTTCAAGGGAAATCATGGGTATGATTCACAGATATAAATAGATATTTTATGATTTTTACTAATAGCAAGCTAGAGATAAAAACTCTCTCTCCCACTACAACCAGACCAGTTTTCTTAAAGCATATCACCTCTGTTTTGTCCTTGCTTCTACAAGTTCTATACTTCTAGCCAGAGAAATCAGCTTGAAACATTACTTTCTTCTACTAACAGGGGGATTTCTAAATTTGGTTAGCTTCAGAGTGGCTAAAGGGGTCAAGACAGAGTTAATCACAATGCAAAAAGAGATACATGTGCAGCTGAGGTTATGAAAAAATACAGAGCCATGAATATGCCTGGTTTTACTCTGCCACATATGGTCAACGTTATTGGCTGCACCATGTGACCAAGGATTCAAAATACCTGTTGTAACAGATTTAAAATAAGGGTAGAAAATCGTCATTTCCCATCAAATCCAAACCCCTATTAGAGTCACAGATTGATTTTACTCTCTTAAGCAGGATATTTCAACTGGCCCAGCAGTTGGAATATACATTACATTCATTCTGTTTCTGTTATTACCATAACCCTTCACCAAACCTCAACCCAAAGGCCCTTTCAGTGACCTGCTATGAGGACTGTAGTAGATTGAATAATGGTGATCCAAAGATATTAGGTCCTAATCCCTGAAATCTGTAAATTGTACTTTATAAGGAAAAAGTGCCCTTGTAGATATGATTAAGTTGAGGATCTTGAGACGAGGAGATAATCCTAGAGTATCCAGATGGGTCCTAAATGCCATCACAAGTAGAAAGCAGGGAAAATCCATGCTAGAAAAGAAATAGTGTTGAACTTAATTGTCCATAGATAGATAAAAAGTTTCATATGGTGAGAATGAAACAATGATCAGTTGTTCTTCAATTCCCCACCAAAATGAAGCTATCAAGGGACACCATAGAAACTCAATCCCAAGAGAGAAATATCAGTCCTAATCAAAAGCAGGGAGCTAGGCTAGTTCTATTTTATGTGACCACTTAAATTTCTTCTAGTTCTATGATTCTAGTTTCTAACTCTAGGTGCTCAATCTTATCCGCTCTTAGAACAAGTATGTAATATCAACTATTTTAAGTGGAAAATTTGGGGGTGAGGGGGTAGTGTAAGAAAGGTCCTAGCAAAATGACATTTGGAACACAGCATTGAGTTTAGTTGGGAGGGTCATATTTGAAAAGAGCATTGAAAACTAAATAACATTTAGAAGAAATCAACCAAGATTGGAATCTGGAAATTATGTTATATGAAAAACGACTAAAGGTATTAGGAATGTACTAACCCCAAAAAAGAAAAATGATAGCTATAATTAAATATTTGAAGTGTTCTTAGAGATGACCATTGTATTTTATTCTCTATTACTTCATAATGCAAAACTAGGACCAATGGGTAAAAGGAGGAAGATTTTGACTCAATATATTGAAAAAATAGTTCTAATAATTTCAAGCCCTCTAAAAATGAAATAACAGTCTGAAAAAGTAACGAGCTGCCCAAGAGTGGAAGTGTTCTAGCAGAAACTAGATGGCCATATGTATATATTAGACATGTTTAAAAATATCTCTAATATATATATATATATATATATATATATGGAAAACAGTATGGAAGTTCTTCAAAAAACTAAAAGTAGAACTACCAAATGATCCAGTAATTCTACTGCTGAGTATTAATCCAAAGACAATGAAAACACTAATTTGAAAAGATATATGCACTCCCATGTTGATTGCAGCTTTATTTACAATAGCCAGGATATGGAAACAACCTAAGTGTCCATTGATAGATGAATGGATAAAGAAAATGTGGTGTATACATACACACAATGGAATACTATTCGGCCTTAACAAAGGACTGAAATCTCTCCATTTGCAACATGGATGGACCATGAAGGCATTATGCTAAGTGAAACAAGTCAGAAAGAAAAAGACAAATACTGTATGATCTCACCTATATGTGGAATCTAAAAAACAAAACGAACGAACAAACAAAAAACTAAGCTCAGAGGGAAAAGAGGGGGTGGGGAGGTGGGTGAAATGGGTGAAAGGGGTCAAAAGGTACAAACTTCCAGCTATAAAATAAATAAATCATGGGGATGTAATATAGAGCATGGTGACTACAGTTAATAATATTGTACTGTATATGTGAAAGTTGCTAAGAGAGTAAATCTTAAAAGTCCTTATCACAAGGAAAAAAAGGAAAAAAATTTTTAACTATGTACAGTGACGGATGGTAACTAGACTTATTGTGGCGATCATTTTGCAATGTATACAAATATTGAATCATTATGTTGTACACCTGAAACTAATAAAATGTTTTATGTCAATTATATCTCAATTTTAAAAAAATTCCTTAGAGAGAGATAGGTTAGACTAGATAATGTGTTTTCCAACATTTAATAAAAAAATGTAAATAAATTCAAACATATTGGAAACTTCAAACATATTTAGCAGTAGACAGAATACTATAATGAACCCCATACTCATCAACCAGCTTTAACATTATCAGTTCCTGGCCAACCTTGCTCTATCTATAACCTCTCACTTCACCTTACTCTTACATTATTTTGAAGTATATCCCAGATGTCAAATTATTTCAACCTTAAATACTTCAATATGTCAGATGAACTTTTAAAACTATTTTAACTACAAGATTCTATGCTTTTATAGCTCCAAAATACAAGAAAATTGAAGTCCACTAACATTCAGAAGGTGAATTACCTTCACCATTTACTCTCCAGTTCTAGATAAACCAAGAGAGTCAGCACTTGACCAGTTTCATTGTCTAGTTCTTAGTGACATCTAGTGGATAAAAATTGCAACAGAAACGATGAGATTAAAAAGCATCTACTATCACGGCATTGTACGGGCAAAAGTTCAGAGGCTCAAAGTACTTTAAGTCACTGAATGTTCTTTAGCAGTTCACCTTATAAGAAAAAAACAGGGTGCAAACACTTTTACAAATTTTGTAACATTTAAGTCTTTTCATAACCTGTTTTCCTCATATCTACCTAAGCTCATTTTCCATTATTCTCTATAAACTATCAGTTAGAAAGTTTCCATCACTTATTCCCAAATATACCAAGCTCGTTACATATTCTAGTGTTTTAACTGTTCCTTCTATCTCGAAGTTTTCTTGAATTTACCAATTCAATCCAGCTTACCAATTCAAAATATACAGCTCAATTCCAGCTCTTCCATGAATTCTTCCCCAACTATTTCCTTAGAATTTAACATTTTTTGAACTCCCATAGCACAATTTTATCACCAAATACAGCAAATATCTCTGTTTTATTATCTAACAGATTAGAGGTCTAATAGCGTTGTATCTCTATTTGGAAATGTAAACCCATGGGCGGTCCTATTTCACACATTAGTATCCTTACAGTGTTTAATTTATTAAACACAGTATATTCCTATATCTGCAGACTGATGAGTCTAGTCATGTATCATACAGATGAAGTAAAATCCTCACTATAGCAGGATTTATAGCTGCAAGCACCATGCAGGCAAGAACTGTGTGTGTCTTAGTGTTCTATCCCTTGTGCTTTATGCAGTGCCTGGCTCAATAAATATTTGCTAAACAAATTGTTCAAAGTCTTAAAAAAGAAAACAAAAAAAGATTACAAAAATGATTACTAATAAACCAAACAATACAAAAGTCATAGTTCTGTTAACATAACATGTGCTTCTAAAGCTTTCTCTATTGATGGTAGTGTAGCCACTCTGATTTGCTTCATACTTATGACTAAGCATGTTAGCTTAGGCAGTTAGATGACTTTTATTTTCATATAATCATCATTTTCCACATTTTTCCCTCTTGTCGCTATCCCTAGGAATACATTTTTAAGTGATAAGATGAAGAATAATTCCCACACTAGAGGTGAAGAATACGCTATCAACTAGACAAAAGCTCAAGTACTAAGAAGGGAGCTGAAAGGATGGCATCCAGTGATTTGAGTGAATGAGTCTATTCATGGTGGTTAATTTTTAAATATCAGGTACATAAAATGAATCACTAAATAAAAGTTATATTTTTCAAAACACTGAATATGTTGAGAGTTTACGCTATCATTACTTGATCTACAGATCTATTTATTGTGATAATCATATCAAAGTGTAGAAAAAAGAAAAATAATGAATGAACTGCCCCATGTATGTACTGAACCTTTTTGAAATACAGGTTAGGAATCACTTCTGTCCATATGCTTCAAAATGTTGGTAACTTATCCATAGCATAATTCCAGTATAATTGGGAAAATCTATGTTCTTTGACCTAAAGCTCTTTCTAATAAGTTTTGAATTCTAACACTTCGGCACCTTTCTTTAGATGATTCTAAAATGTCTTACCAAAAAGAAATAATTATAAACTTAAAATATACATAAAAAATAAACATCATTCCCCATTTTACAAAGGTAAAAAAGGAGGTAATAAAAAGTGAAGTTGAATGTGATACCTCCTAATCTCTATTCCATACCCTTAAGATGTCATATATCTAAAAAAATCATAGACATAAAATAAAATGAAGATGTACTTACAGCCTGGGCTTGTTGTAGGAATAATTCATTCTGATTCTCTCTATCTTCTATTCCATCCCCAAGCATCTCAGAAAGGAGTGACCTAGCACTTCCAATAGCAGCATTCAAATTGTTTGGAAAAACACTTGTTCTTTTAGGAGTTAAGTGTGCTGGATCTGAAGACTGCATGGCTATAGAGCTTTCTTTTTCTGCCTACACAAAGGAAGGAAGAGTGAGATTCCACTCCAATCCAATGCAATCATATAATGCCTCTAGGCAGCCCAGAGGATTTTAAATCAGGGCCAGGGGGAGGGTGGCGGAAGCTTTAGCTGTCAAAAGAACTAACATTTACCAGGCACCTACTATGTGCTAATAATTTACATTATCTCATCTAATTCTCACAACAATCTTATGAGACCAGTATCATATCCCTCTTTCATAGGTGAACAAACTACAGTCCAGAGAAGTTAAGTAATTAGCCAAAGGTCACATAGCTAGTAAGACAGCATAAGCTAGAAGTCAAACCCAAGTCTGAATGCAAAACTCTGACATTGTTTTTAACTACTTAATGAAAGCAAAGAATGAGCCAGCCACAACATAGGAAGGAAACATGGTTTCTCTACATACAAATCCACTGCCCTCACTAGTAGATCAGATTATATGAAGCATAGAATCAAAGGAAAATGATTCTGTTACTGGCTAATAGCTTATCTCATAACACACACTTTCTATGTAGTCTTTACTTGGCACACTTTTGAACTTACTGCTTCGTAAGACTTCTGAAGCTGCTGCTTTTTCCTCAGCCTAATTTGTTGATTTACTCGATGTTTGACTTGTCTCTGAAAACGCCTCAAAGCTTCTTGTTTTTTTCTTAGCTCTTCCTTTAGCTCCTCTTCAATCATATATGCTGAAGTCTTCAAAGCCAAAAGATAGAAAAGGAATTTAAATGTCAGCAGTTTTGCCCAATAGGGCTCTGTTATAAACACAAAGCAGACAAGAAAACAACCCTGAAAAAATAATTCAGTCTACAGTCCAAAATTCCCGGTAAAATAAGGAAGTTACAGGAGTTCAGAGCCAATAATCTAGACAGAGCTAGTGAGTGTACCAAGAACTTAAACCAAATCACACACTAAAAATTGGGATTTGTGAGTACTCAAATCAAATCTTAATTTTTCATTGAACTGAGAACTAAAGGTGTCTTCATTAATTCTTAATGACCAATTCAAATCTATCTCATGTTACATTTTCTAAAATGAGTAAAACAGTTCAGATACACGAGACTGCTCACCACTCACCAAACATGTCCTATAATAAAATGCCTTCATACTCAGAATTATGTTCCATTTTTAACCTAGCATGCTCTTCCTGTCATCTCCATCTAGTAAAGGCCTACTCAGTCTTCAAGACCATCTAATACCCTCCTCCTAGTACCTTCTACAATCTGTTCTTCCTCTGCGCTCTCTGATGCTATGGTACCTCTCATTAACATTAACTGAATACGGTATTTCTTGACTGCTCCATTAGATTATGAACTCTTTCAGGGCAGGAAATGCATTTAATTCTCCTTTGTTTCCGCATAGAACAAAACACAGAGCCATAAACATAAAGGTACTGAATATTTATGTAATGCTCAATCCCAGAACACATTCTAAACAATTTGGAACATTTTATCCCACTTGAGTCCCTGATCAGTATTTACCTCCTCTAAGTGCTTTGAATAACAATCATAGTCATCGTAATAACAGCAGTTACCATCATTGAAGATCTATTACAAGACAATCACTTTAACTACATCATATCACTGAATCCTCAAAACCACCTCCATAGCAGGTATTCTAATCTTTAATGCTACAGATGAGGAAAGCGGGGCTCAGAAAGATTAAGTAATCTTTAGCAGTAGCCTAAGATCCTACTGTAGCTGACAAGTAGCAGAGCTAGAAGTTTCTCGGACTCCAACACTTATGCCCTATACTGTATTGCTTTTCTCTTGACTACATTTCTCTTTAATAAGGAATCTTCAAATTAAATAAAATCATCACTTCTCCTACCTAACCCTTCTTCTAACAGTGATTCCAAAATCTAATCCTGAAGCATGCTTCAAATTATTTCACAAGTTGTCAATAAATTCTCAAAATCAAATGAATTTAAATTCCAATTAAAATTAAATTTTCCAGGAACTCTATCCCATAAACTATTCTACAAGAGTCTGTAACATAGGAGTAGAGTGTACAAAACAAATATCAAAGAATAATTAGGTAAAGTAATTCCAAAGGAGAGATATATGTAGCAAAGCTTGAACTGACCCAAATTAACACAAGCCCCAGACATGTTTAAGCCATCCTACCTCTTTCTTTTACTTCTGCTGCCTCTGTCCGCCCCCTTTTACCCCAAGGCTGAGACTATCAAACATCTTATTGAAGTATATGGTTGATTCCAAACTGCGGATCTCAATTGTAAACTAAAGATAAGAGTGTACCACATTTTAGAAACATATTTTTCTTAGCAAATACCACTGTGTAAGGCAACTGGAACCTGAGAACACTTGTCCCACGGGATACTAGGAGGTTCCTAGAGTCAAATAAATTTGGGAAATACTGGGTTAAACAAAAATAAATATTGCTTCAATTGTACAACTAATATCTCACACCTTTTTTGTACCCTATGGACTCTCCAAGGCGGCAATATAGAATGAAGTGTTTCTCACATTAATCAAAGAACACATTTGGATAATTCACATATGATGGAAGTGATGCTTAGATTATGTAGCAGTTAGTCTCCAAAGATTATCTGCCCTTTTCCCCACAATGGATCAAGCCTCCCTGTATTTATGCTCTTGTGTAGTCGTCTCCTATACTGATCAGTCTGGCTCTGTATATCCAACAGAATGAGGCAGACGTGTTAGCTCCTTGACTTCGAAGCAAGGTAATAAAGCAACGTCCACATAAGGCTTTTGGAGTGCTCACTCTAGGTGAAACCAGCCACCATATAAGAATTCTACCCTGAGATTACCATGCTGTGAGGAAGCCCATGTTACCCAAATAGAGAGGCAATGTAGAAAGAGAAAGATGTGCAGCCAGCCCAAAGCCATTCTAGTCATCCTAGCCCAAGTGCCAGATTATGTGAGTGAGAAACCCTTTGATATTTTAGCCCAGCAGATGCCACATGAAGAAGAACCAAGAAACTCAACCAATAGCCAGAATCCAGTCAAGTTGTCCCAGACATCTCCAGCTATTTGGGCCACTCTAGCTGAAGGCTCAGACATTGTGGAGCAGACAAGACATCCCCACTGTGTCCTGCTCAATTTTCTGACACCAGTATTGTTTGCTTTATGCCACTAAATTCTAAGGTGGTTTGTTACACAATAGGTAACCAGAATAAATTACAAAATAATGCAACAGCCATATATGCTGATAGGAGAGTAGTGTCTTTTGATGCTAACTTAATTAATGGGGATGGGGTCTGAAGCTACGGCATTTTTAGGAATCCTGATAGCTCCTTGAAATTTGGGGGACAAAAATGATTAAGAGTTTCCCTTTAAAATAGACATGATTTTATGGTAACCAAGCTTTCCAAGTAACTATTCAGCATCTATTCTGAGCTGACAAAGCTCCATCTATTAATAAGAGTGGATTCTCCAGACTGTATATGCTAAAGCAATACAGAGTTCTGTTGACACTTGATCAAACTGCCTTTTACTGGTACTGATCAGAATTTTTTAAACGAGGGAAAGGAGACATGTTTATACAAGTTCCAAGAATTTAATGTTTTGAGTTAATGTGTGGGAACATGACACTCAATTCTTTCTAACACTGAAAAAGAAAATCTTGGGTTTTTTTACGCATTTTGATGCTACTGACAATATAAAGATGTCATAACTTGAACAATTAAAAAGAGATGTGAATAACTTAAATGCCAAAATACCTTTGTACCAAATCTTACTGATTATTCTGGGATGTTTCTTGCATTTATCCTTTTTCATTCCCACTTCAACCACCCCTTTTAAGGCTTTCCCTCTCCATTCCTTACCACTAAACAAGTCTTGATGCTATACTTCTGCCTAAATTGTTACAATTACATCCATAATATTAAACAATGAATGAGTCAGTCCCTCTTCCAAAATTCCTGTGTTTTCCTACCAACTCTATTTTCCACAATCCTATCAATCACCATACCCCTACTAAACCTTCCACTGCAATCAATTTAATCTACCCTTAGAATCCCGAATATACTTCGCTTACTTCCTATTCTCCCCATTCTCTTTAATTGGAGAATCATTCCCATCTTTTCTTTGATTATTTGAATTCTTCATTAAACTTCCTTGGGTCACATCAACCCAAAGTCATATCTTTCTTCTTTGATTAAGTATTATAATCTTAGAATTTAATCATATACTAGCCAGACTCTTAAAATCCTTTCTGGAAATAGGCAGAGTAGGAATAAATGGATGACTATGTACATACATACACACAAACATAAATAAAATGAATGAATACAGCACAACTAGAAGGACCTACAACTAGAACATACAACTATGTTCTAGGGGGTGGGGAGCTTTGGGGAGAAGAAGAAGAAAAAAAGAAGACTGGCAACAGATGTTAGCTCAGGGCCAAGCTTTAAGAAGAAAAAATAAATGAATATATAACACTGCATTGTTATTTAACATTTACTTTAAACATGTCTCATTTCTTCTCTGAGATCAAGGACCACTAAAGAAACATAGCTCATACTTTGCACCTCACATTCAGCACCCTGTCTACACATTCAGAAGGTCAGAAGACCTTCACACATTTTATGCATTCCATAAATGTTTACTGAGTGCCTACATTTCTTAGGCACTAAAATAAAAGTACAGATGTGACGATAGTAAGATTTTTTTCCCCTGTGCTCTAGGAGCTCATGCTCCATCAGGAAAGGTAGATATGTAAACTTACTATAAATATAATATGGTGTGTACGGTGATGGATGGTAATTAGTTGTTGGGTGGTGAACATGATGGCTACACAAAAATCGAAATATAATGATGTATGACTGAAATTTATCTACTATTATAAACCAATGTTACCTCAATAAAAAAATAAAAATTAATCACAATTTTTTAAAATAAATAAGTAAATAAATATAATGTGGTAAGTTTGACAATAAAATTCGAACAAATGGCTAAGGGGCACAATTTGGTGAAAGACTATTAAAAAAATCTTACAAAATCGTCCTCACGTGTTAATTAGTATATCTGAGAATTATCATGTAAACTTTGCAAACCTGTACTTACAGCATTTCCATTCTTTAAGGACCAACACAGGCTATATTTCCTCATTCATTCAACAAATATTTCCTGAAAACCTACTATATGGTAAGGCAGGAATGAACAAAACACAAATGTTCCTGTCCTCATGGAATTTATAGTTAGGCTTTCTCAGAATCGCACTCAGAATTAATCTCTTCCTCCTTTATTCTCCCACTGCATTTTGCCTGAATCTCCACTACCAAACCTATCAAAAACTGTGAGCAATCAATTAATGTGACATGCACAGTAGGTGAGTAATAAATATCTGTGCCAACTAAAGCTGCAGCAAATTTTGGCAATTACACGTTTGTTCTTTAATCCTAATGCAAGAATATATCTATTTACAACAAAATAGAAACAGCACGCCCAGATTGTTCATCTTTATCTAAATCAGAGAAGGCTAATAAGAAGAAAAAAAGGTGAGGGACGAACACCCCCATATTTGGTCCAAACTGACACTCACAGACGCTGGGATTTCCGAACTATGTGGTGAGGCGGGTTCCACCCATGCCCCAACTGGTACTATAGCCTGGTTCCTCTCAGCCAGCACTGCCAACACGTCCTTGCTCTTCAGGGGGTTTAAAGCCAGGGGCAACCTTGTGGTATTTCCAGTCTTCTTGAGGGGGGCCATACTTCCTGGCATCTGTGCCTCCTGGTTAGGAGAAAGGAAAAGCTTAAAATCTTCAAATGACCGCGTTAAAATCTCCACCTCCTAACACATGAGCCACAGTCCCCTAAAAAGGAGAGGAGCCTTGGAGGAGGCAGTAGCCTGACAGGGAATCGAAGAACAAGGACTCTGGAAGAAAAGGAAGGAAAGAGGAAAGAAGGGGGAAGAAATAAAGAGGGAAGGAAAGGTTTAAAGACTGCCTTCTGGAAAGAATGGGGATGAGAGAGAAGAGAAAAAAGTATCTGATTGAGAGAACGAAGACTGTGCCCAGCGGTGGCAGCACGGTGGGAAAGGGACCGTGGCAGCCAGAGGGAAGGAGGTTGGGAGGGTGAGGGGTGGGAACCTGGGTCTGAGGCAGAGTCCAAATAATCGGTGTCCGGTTATGGGGGAAGCGCCGAATGGCAGGGAGTCCCGGGCCAGATAAAAGTCCGCTTCTAAGGCCTCGGGGTCACAAACTCAAACTACCCGGGATAAGACGACAAACGACTCTAGAAAACCGCCACTTTCAGGCGGACCGCCCTACCGGGCCCCGTCCCGCCCCTCGGTAGCCTTGTATCCGCCTTTTCCGGGTTTGCGTCACCTCCCGGGCACTGGGGAAGCGTGAGGGGCGGGGTTTTGGGCTCAGGAGGTTCGTCACTTCCGCTTTTTGCCTAGTTGAGGGGGTGGGGCTTATGACGGCGCGCGGAGCTGGGCGGGAATCGGAGGGGACGTTGGCTGCTGGGTAACGGGTGAGCAGGGTGTGGCCCGCCGACCGTGCATTGATATTCCCAGCTTTGAACCATCGCAAATCCTTCAGGAAAAGGGATACGTGGGGCTGAAGAGCTGACTGACTGGGATCCCGATTGAGGGAAGCACGGGAAAAGATGGAAGAAGGCGGGCATGGCAAGGCTTCCTCAAGGAACAAACTAAGCCAGCAATAAATCGTACTGATCGTCTGTACACCTCATTGCGTTTACATGCTGTTTCATACATATTCTTATATTTGAACATCTCAGCCTCGTGAGTGTTCTCTCTGGTCCAAGATCTGCTGTAATCGTGGGACACTTCATTATCCCTGTGAAATACCTATTCATTAGTTCATTTAACATAAAATTGAGAGCTTTTTATATACCAGTACTATCCTAGGCACTGGAAATATACGGCAGTGAACAAAACATACAAATATCCCTTGCTTATGGAATTTACAATATAATGAGAAGTAACCAAATAAACATATAAATAAGTAAATAAATGTGTCTGATGCTGATCAGTACCATCGAGTAAAAGGAGAGAAAGGATAAAGAATATACCGGGGAGAGAGGAGATGAAATTTAGATAGGATGACTTAGAGAAGGTTTCACTGAGGTACTTTTGAGCAGACTCCAATGCAAAGTTCCATGAGATAATGGAACAAGCTACTGTAATCTTCAAGGGAGAGTTTTATTTAAAAAGTGTTCCAGGTAGAGGGAGCAGCAAGTACAGTGGCTCCAAGGTAGGCACATACCTGGCTGAGAAACAGCAAGGAGGCTAGTGTGACTGGTACAGAGTGAGAGGGAGAGAGTGTTGAGATAGGAGGTCAAAAGTTAGGGGGCAGGCAACCATATAGAACATTGTAAGCCACAGAAAGGCATTGAGATGGGGGAGCCATTGGAGGGTTTTGAGCAAAGGAATGCCATGACGTGACTTAGGTTTATAAAAGATTGTTCTGGCTGTTGTATTGAGAATAGACTGAATGGGGCAAGAGTATAAGCAAGTAGCCCAATTAGGAGGCTATTCCAATAATCCTAATAGGAGATTATGATGTCTTGGATCAGGGAAGTAGTGGTAGAGATGGTGAGAAGTAGTTGGATTCTGGATATATTTGGGAGACAGGACTTCTAGGACCTGTTGAACATTGGATATCATGTGTGGGGTTGGGGGGAGGGAGCAGTCAAGAACAATGCTAGTGATTTTGTCCTGAGCAGCTGACATTTGCTGAGATGGGGAAAATGGTGGAAGGAGTAGGTTTGTGAGGGAGAAGATCAGGAGTTCAGTTTGAAGCAGATTAAGTTTTATTTATCTAATTGACATCCAAGAAAGAGTATGATGAAAGTGTTTGGAGTTCACAGGAGACTTCTGGTCTAGGAATATAGATTTGGGAGTTGCTAGCCTATAGATTTAAAGCCATGAGACTAAATGAAATCATCAAGAGACCGAGTTGTAGACAGACAAGGAAAGAAGTCCAAGGATTGAGCCCTGGGGTATTCCAACACTGAAGAGGCTGAGAAGAAGAGGAGAGGAATGCAAAGAGATTGGGAAGGATCAGCCAGTAAGCTAAAGAAGAAAACAAGGAGTGTATGATATCTTGAAAGCCAAGTGAAGAAAATGTTTCATTGAAGAGGACAGACCATCCATGTTAAAGCCTGCTGATAGGTCAAATAAGATAAGGACTGAGAATCGACTATTGGATTTAACAATGTGGAAGTCATTGATGACTTTTAAAGGAGCAGTGTTTTTGGATTAGTTGGAGAGCAAAAGCCTGATCGGAGTAGACTTAAAAGAGAGGGGAAGGAGGAATTGGAATCAGCAATTTTAGACAACTCATTCAATGAGTTTTCTCGTAAAGGGACACAGAAATGGGTAGGTGAAAGGAGAGGTAGGATCATAGGAGGATTCTTATCTTTAAGATCACAGCACATGTTTTTTGTTGTTGGGAATTATCCAGTAGACAGGAGAAAACTGACATGCGGGAGAGAGATGGGAGAATTTTTGCATGTATGTCCTTAAGTGAGCAAGAGGGAATGGGATCTAGAGAACAAGTGGAGGGAATCACTGTAAACAGCAGGAGGGACAGTTCACTATAACAATAGTGAAAATAGAGTATATCCTGCTAATTGGATAATATGGTGGTGGGAGCTTGTGGAAGTTCTCTGCTTATTGTTCTGTTTTCTCTGTAAAATAGTAACGTAGCCAGCCTGTAAGATGGCCTCTGATGATCCCCATCTCTTGGTATTCACACCCTTGTGTAGTCCCCCTTCACACTGTACCAGAATTGGTCTGTGTGACCAATAGAATATGGCAGAAGCGATGGTATCTCACTTCAGAGATTAGGTTATAAGAGATGCTGTTTTCTCACTGTCATTCTCATTCTCTTGCTCTCTTGCTCTCTCTGTTGCTCTTACTCTTGCTCTCTGTCAGATCACATGCTCTGGGGGAAGATATTTATGTCACGAGCAGCCCTATAAAAAGGCCCACATTGCAAAGTACTGAAGGCTTCTGCCAATAGCGCTGTGAATGATCTTGAAATTGGATCCTCCAGTCCCAATCAAGTGTTCACACACTGTAGTCTTGGCCAACAGTTTGACCGCAACCTCATAAGAGACCTTGAGCCAGACTATCCAGCTAGAAACTTTGTAAATAATGTTTGTTGTTTTAAGATGCTAAATTTGGGGGTAATTTCTTACATAAAAACAGATAACAATACAAATAGGAAGCAAGTTCATCAATTAATAAAATAGAGGAAGAGATGTTGGAGGTTTGGGGAAGGAAGATAAGGTATAAAATAGTTGTCCAGAAGAGCAGAAGTATGAACTAGCGACATGTACAATTGCCAGATGGCATTAAGGACCCATGTGAGGTTCATGATTTTGAATTTAAAGTGAGACCAGTCAGCATGGTTGAGTGCTTTTCTTCAGTTGCATGGTTACTGGCATAGGGTAAGTGGAAATTTTAATTTTAGCCAGGGTTGAGGTTTTACCGAAATATTACCATCAAGCAAGAAAGGGGAAAGGAAGTTGAAGATTAGTGTAAGGGAGTAATTAAATGACCGTGGAATTTAAGATAGGTAATGTGGGAAGGGAGGACGAGAGGTAGGTAAGGGACATTGTAAAGTAGGTAGGATCCAGGGATTGTAGCTTCCAGTGGGGGTCTAGGTCTTGTTAGAGCAGGATACTAGAAAGAACACGCTGAAAAAGATAAGAAGTGGTGATCTGAGAGTGGGATGCTTGAAAGAGTATGGAGGGGCTGCAGATATTGGTACTGACAAAGTCTATGGTACGACCAAGGGAGGGAGTGCTGAGGTGGGTTAAAGAACAAAATCACAGGAGAAGAAGAGGTTATAGAAATGCGGGGTCATTGGATGGATTATTCCTGAGGTTATTGAAATCACCAAAATATGTGATAAGAATAGTGTTGGTGAGAGCCAGGAGCAACAGTCATCAAGGAATTTGGGGGAAAGACCTGGAGTTTGGTAGACGAGTATAACTTGGAAAGCAGTGAGTGGTATAGTCTGACAACGTTAGATTCAAAGCGAAGGGTGAAACAGGAGCGAAAATGGTTTATAAATATCACTGAGAAACCGAGAGGCAAGAAGGAAACATATCCCACCTCCACCCAAAGGGTGAGGAACAGAAAACGGCCACCGCTTGAGACGGCCAGAGGGACGTTGATTTGTATGTCTCCATACACACACACCCACACCCCCCAACACTGGGAAAAAAATGTTATTAGGTGGCTCCTTGCTCTCTCTAACCTCTGGCTCAAGGTCTATGCCTCCTACTAGCAGCTGTGCCAGTGGTTCCATATGAATCTATATTCTCATTGTATCCAGAGAGCTCACCTCTTGAGCCCTACTCCCATTTTCTGACCTTTTCACAAGGCTTATCTTCTATATTGCCAGAGTTAGTTCCTCAGCAAAGAAACTATTTGCTTAGAAATGTCTATCTTCTTCAGAAACATAAAAGAATGGATGTTGCTAGCACCAGAGACCTGAGGCCCTGCTCCAGAGCACTCCTCATCAGGGCTGGATAATCTCTGATGTGTGTGGCTGGGGCATCCTGACCATCTCTGCACAAAGCCCTGAGTCATTGGGTCCTTGGCACCGGTCCACTCTACACAGAACTGATTGTTTGATGAGCACCAGGGGACAGTTTGCTTTTTGGTCACCACTATCCTATTTTGGCTCACTGACCCACACCTGTAACAAATTAGAAAACTTGGTCACCTGTTGTGTCCTAAGAGCCTATCCTAAGGAGAACTTCTCTAAATGTGGAAAACCTGCCTACTTCCATGCTCATGGGATCTGGATGCTGGGAACTCAGCCTCAGGCAGCTGAGTCATACTCACTTTCACTCTCTCCCAAATTCAAGCAGGATTTCCCAGGGCCAACCAATGTTCTGGGCTGTTTCCCGAAAGTAGACCATACCACTATCCTCTTTTGTTCTTCCTCCTCCTTATCCACCTCTCAGAACAACCTTTCTGACTGGAATAATTGGTGAGGGTCCTTCTGCTTGCCTATTCAGACCGGATTTTTGCAGCAGCATTTCATTGTAAATGGCACCAATAGCAGATTGCTCCAGTTAAGCCCCATCTCAATAGCCTCTGCTGTACTGATCTCTGATTTTATTGTGGATGCAGAAGTCTTTTCTCCTTTCTCTTGGTGGGTCATAAAAAAATTAACATAAGAGTCTCAGTGTCTCTCTACATTAACAGAAGCTCAACTAGGATAGACACAGAGATGCACTTCCCAGATACCCCTTCAAGGAAGGTACTTTTGGGGATGGTGTAGTCCTTTGGCAGTCAGCTCTTCAGGCACTGCCTCAGCTTCAGAGAGCTGCCTCGTCCTCCCTTTGAGGAGCAGCCACATCCAGTGACTTATGGTTATGGGATGTAAAGGGCTGGCTGTTTCTGCCTAACTTGGAAAAACTCTGATGGACCATCATTTCAGCTTCAGGGCTCCCTGTGGGCTTGGCTGAGGCTATCCAGCCTGCATCACAGCTCAACTTCTCCCTCTGCCCCCTCCTGCTTGCCCCACCTCCCTTCCACAGGTGTCAATCTCAAGCACACTCCCTGAAAAACATCCTGAACAGGAAATGGTCTCAGAGTCTGCTTCCTGGAGAACCCAGCTACGACACCCTGAGTGTTGTTAGGCTCAGAGACAGAGGCACTGACGGCTCTCAGGCATATAACTCCTGGTGTTGAAATCCATAGACTTATCATTACTCTTTTCTTTTCCATAAAAGAGACCTGCAGCATTTCAAGGAGATGGTCTACCTGCGATTTAAAGTACTTCTTCCCTGTTGACATTTTTGAGCCTCTGGATTAAGCTAACTCTCAAGGCTACCCCACCTCTAGACTTTCTAAATATGTGAACCAATGAAGTTCTTTATTGTTAATGCCAATGTTCATTAGATTTTATATTGTTTGCAACATAGAGAACCCTGAGATGAGCAAAATAGAAGGAGTCAACTGGTAAAGCTAGGAGAATGAAGCAGACAAGCAGAAAGACGCAGTTACCTACAAAACTTGGTTCCAGGAGCTGCCTCAGTGTTTGCACTCTCCAAATCTAGTCCAGGCAATATGCCTCTCCTCTGATGGTAACTTCACTGAGATATCTGTTCTTTGAAGCCAAAGAAGCTTCATTAAGATAGGAGACTTTGCCATAAGTTAAAGCTAGTTGGGGCCAAAATGATTTTTATCTATCTATAAATATCTGTATCTATATATATATCTATATAATATTTATGTAAATGTAAACAGCTATATTATTCAACATACTTTTGACTTTTCTAGAAAATGTACTCCTAAAGTATAAAAATTATAGTCATTAAAGATACTTTAAAAATACGTTGCGGGCTCTAAACTCAATTTCAAAAGAGGAATCTCAAAAATATTTTCAAAAAATAGCAAGACACTCAAGGCAACTATTTGGAGAAAACCAAACCATTCATTTTTCTGTGTTCTGCTATGATTGTTATAATTATCCACTATTAATAGTAACATCTTCTATATCCCGAATCTCTAGGGACAACATATTATAGTGCAGAGAACAGAGACTTTGGAAACAAACGAATTTAATTCTGGCTCTGCAATTTCCTATTTGTGGTCAAGTCACACAATATGTCTTTGTTTCTTCATCTGTAATATGGGGGAACAATGGACCTTTCAGGATTTTTTGTGTGAAAATTAAGGTAATATATATGAAATGCATGATATATAATAGGTTTTCAATAAATGCTTGCTAATTTTTTTTAGGAAGCAAGATAGAAGTCATTTCTTCTACCTTTAGAAGATTCTGATTTTTTTGCACATGATTAGGCACGTGGCCCAGCCTGGGATAGCATTCTATTCTCCTGTCCATAGTGACTGACCCAGAGCTGTGCATGTGACCTATGCTAGTCCAACCACAGTCGTCCTTCACCAAGATTTTCTTTCTTACTAGCTTCATCAAAAATCTTTTCCTCCCTGGATGACAAGCTGTACTGTCCAATATGTTACCACTAGCTACATGTGGCTATTTAAATTTAAATTAATTAAAATTAGATAAAATTTGTAATTCATTTCCTCAGTCCAACTAGCCACACTTAAAGCGTTCAATAGCCACATGTGGCTAACAGCTACCGTACTTGACGGCCCAGATATAGAACATTTCCATCATCACAGGAATTATATTAGACAGCATTGATACTCTAGACTGTCTGGCCACCACGGCCCCCATCAAAAAAAAGTGTAAGCAGGGCGGCCTGCCCCATGGCCGAGTGGTTAAAGTTCCGTGTGCTCCACCTTGGCAGCCTGGGATTCAAGGGTTCGGATCCCGGGCACGGACCTACTCCACTCATCAGCCATGCTATGGAGGCATACCGCGTACAAAGTAGAGAAAGATTGGTACAGATGGTATCTCAGGGCAGATCTTCCTCAAGCCAAAAAAAAAAAAAAAGTGTGAGCAAGCTTGAGAGAATGAAGCTGACACCGAGAGATAAGTAAGAACAATGAGTGATAACAACAATGGCTTTTAAGAATCTTATTTCCAATTATTCCCACTCCCTCCAAAATTTTGTTACATGATACAAAAAAATTCCTCCTTTTTTGCTTCAAATAGTTCAAGTTGAACTTATGACACTTACAACCAAAAAATCTTGATGAATCACATTCCTTAGCTTGTTGGGCTGCAAACCAGATGCAGAATTCTTCAAGGCTGACGCTGGCAAGGATCTGTAAATGAGACAAAGCAGGACCCTATAAGCAATAAAACAAGGGGTGAAAATTTTGGCCTGTCTTCAAGGCTACCTTCCCTGCTAACTTAGCTGGGGCTTTCTTTTAAGAAACCTTGGTTCTCCCTATCTTGAATCCTGTGTGTCAAATATCTGTTTTCTTGGAGTCCCTGCACTCACTCCGGGGGACCCAATTGTTCTCTTGCTGACTAAGCTTTGTTTTTTATGATCCTGTTGCCCGCCATTTCCTCCTTCCTCTCACATCTTGTCTCGAAGGCTTCCTTTTTTCTACCAACTTCTTACTTCCAGGCCTGACCGAAGGCAACCTGTTTCAGGAATGTGGTATGAACACTAGACCAAGAAGCACAGGCTGAGTCTGAACTATGCTGACTCACAAAATGTGTGACTTTGAGCACGTTACTTAACCTCTCTGAGCTTCATGTTCCTCCTTGAAAAAGAAAATTCCTACCACACAGAGTTGTTAGAAGATTAAATAAAATGATATTTTAAAAGACAATTTGTAAGGGGCAATGCAAATGAATTATCAATTATACTTAATGATTTAGATGCAGCTTTCTCCACTATATTTGAGTATTTAGGGACTGTGTCTTCTGGTACTTTTTTTAAATAGAAGTATAATTGATATACAATATTCTGTTAGTTTCAGATGTATATCACAATGATTCGATATTTGTATACATTCGAAATGATCACCATGACAAGTCTAGTTATCATCTGTCACCCTACAAAGTTATTACAATATTATTGACTATATTCCCTATGCTGTCCATCGCATCGCTATGACTTATTTATTTTATCATGGAGAGTTTGTACTTCTTAATCCCCTTCAACTATTTTGCTTGCCCCCCAACCCCTCCCTGCTCTGGTAACCACCACTTTGTGTCTTGTAACTATGAGTCTGTTTCTGTTCTGTCCTGTTTGTTCATTTGTTCTGTTTTTCAGATTCTACATATAAGTGAAATCATACGGTATTTGTCTTTCTCTCTCTGACTTATTTACTTAGCATGATACCCTCTAGGTCTGTCCATGTTGTTGCATTCTGTCACTTTTGAATGTGCCACCTTCTCCCTTTCCCAGATCCTCCTCCTCTTATCAATGTCTGGCACATGGAGTCCTGTTCGCACAGTAGGCAATTATTAGATGCTAGTTGGCTGATTTCCATTTCTGTGCCTCCCTCTTCTGGAGGAGAGCAAGAGAGGGAGGATGGGAGCAAACCCTCCCTGGGTTATGGTTGGTGGGAGGACACCATCTGAGGATCTAGGAGAGGGGAAACAATGAAGCCTTTCACAAGTTGAGGGTAATTTGTGGCTTCCCCATGATTTTTCAACTTGTTTTTATTTGAGCGTTATAGCTTTACAAGAACAGAACTCCAGAGGTGTTCTCTAGAGTGTCCTCGCTACATCTTAAATAGGTCAGCAAAAGCTGGATCTTTCCAACACTTTAATGCCAATTCATTCCTCCTCTTTGTTCCTCTGGAGAGTTGCTGAATAGGGCACGTTCCGCAACCGTGGACACAAGCCTGAGTTCCTCTCAGTTTCCGAGGGGGCGGGAATTCTATTCAGAAATCAAATATTTACTCTCAGCATAAAAGGCTTTGATGTTTTTCAGTTTTGCAGTATGGAAATGGGAGCACCCCCTCTCTGCCTTGCCAAAATGTACCCAGGACCCCAGTCCACCCCAGGATCACATATTTCCCCCAACAAACCCAACACATTTTTAAGACACCATATCTCTGCAGAACACTTTTCCTCTGAGTGACTCCTCACATTCACAGAAATCTGCAGGCAGCAACACCAATGTTCAGGATGAAAGCCCTGGGAAGGCCAGGAGGAGCATTTGACCCCACCTCCAATTTCTATTTGATGTTTCTCAGAAGTGAGCCAGAGTAGGGCTGCCTAGGAGAACATTAAAAAGAGAAAGGAAAGAAAAAAATGTCCTTGGGGAGGGCCATTCCTCACTGTCCATACTCACAAAAAGCTTGTTTTGTTCCAAAGGGAGCTGGCTAAGCAGTCTCTTGTTGGGTGGTTGCTGGAGCAGCTAGGCCCTGCCTCCTCTCAGCACAAAGCCTCACACACGTTCCTTGTTTCCCGGGCAATGCGCTGCAGCCCTACAAATTCTCTGGCTAGTGTTGCCCTCCCGAGTCCTCCTTCTCTCTCCATTCTGGCAAATTGAACTTATGGTAGGAACAACTCTGGCACCATTCATATATAATTTTATGGAACAAAGAATCAAAAACAACTTCAGCAATAATAGGGGGCAGCAGGAGTGGGCAGAGAGGGCCCCCTTATGTCCTGGAGCGTAGTCAGAGAGTAGCTACTGGGGGTAAAAGGCTAGACCAGGACTGAGGCGCAAACACACAGGAGTGGACTTCCTCCTGATGGGTCAGGGAGGTGGTCAGAGTCTAAGCTTTGTGGGTGATCAACCTGGGTTCCTAATCCAGTTCTGCCACTTAGCAGCTATATGACCTTAGCAAGTTGCTAACTTTTTGAAATTTTAGGTTTTCTTGTTTGCAAAATGGGGTTATAATTTCTACCTAAAAAGTGGTATTGGGAGAATCAAATGAACAAATAGATATAAAGTACTGACAGAGTAAAGTGAGGAGTAGCTTACACACAGAGCAGTTAGAGAAGGGTGGAAGTTTTGGACAGGATGCCTCCATGTGAGGGTCAGGCCAGAAGTCTGGGGAATTAGCCTCCCCTTCCCTCTGAGCCCATATCTGATGGTAGTTGGTGGATAAATATCCCAGCTCCCTTGCCCCTTGGTGGGATAACTCTGAGGCATGTTCTTCATTATCTCCCAGAGTTCCCCAACAGGATTAAACTCTAGCTGCCCATGATAGTAGTTTACTTGGTATGCAACCTTTATTGGCTTCCTTCCTTTCCATGTCTCATTCCCCCCGTGTACTACCTGGTTTTATTGGGGTCACATTTCGAATAGACTATTTCACTTCTTGCCTCAGGGTCTGCCTCTGGGGGAGGCCTAGGTTCTCAGGACCATCTCTGACTCCAAACTCCTGCTTCAGCTGAATTAGTCCATTCAGAAATCAGTTCACTGCTCTATATGTGCTGTCCCTCTTGCGTCCCATGTTGAACCAGACCTGAAACTCAGTCCTTTGTGTCAGTATTTTATACACACATACACGCACACTCTCTCTCTTTCACACATCTGCATTAGCTTTTTATACTGCATAACAAATTGCCACCAATTTAGCAGCTTAAAACAATATATATTTATTAGCTTACAGATTCCATGGGTCAGGAATGCAGGCACAGCTTGGCTGGGTCTTCTACTCAAGGTTTCACCAGACTTCATTTAAGGTGTCAGCTGGTCAACGTTCCTTTCTGAAGCTCGGGGTCCTCTTCCAAGCTCATGTAGTTGTTGGGAGAATTCAGTTCCTGTGATCATAGACTGAAGTCCCTATTTTCTTGGTAGCTGTTGGCCAAGGGTGGCTCTCAGCTCCTGGAGGCCACCAGCAGATCCTTGTCATGTGGCCCTTTCGCAACATGACAGTTAATTTCATCAAAGCCAGCAGGACAGTCTCTCCCTCTGGTCTGCTAAGTGAGTCTTGTATAACATAAGCTAATCAAGGGAGTGGCTATCCTATCACCCTTGCCATATTCTGTCAGCTAGAAGCAACATGCATACTGCATTTGCCTCCGGTAATCTTTTCTGGAAGTTTTGAAGAAAACAGAGGAGGAAGAAGGGTTTTACAATGTAACAACACAAGCTGTTCTTCAATTTTCTTCAGCTCCCCCACTGCTCCCCTTCTTCATTTCTCTCCTGTCTGCTCTTTTCCCAACCCCAAATTCCTGCTTATTTCTATGCACAGCAGTTTATCTTTTTGTTCTGTTACTCTTTATGCTTAAGGCCCTACCTTCCACTCCATGTGGCATATCTAGACATTTTCTTGCTAAAGACAATTCCCTCTATAAGAGGAATTTGGGTGCCATTTGTTAGAAGATTTTTTCTCATTCTGTTACCAAAGGCTATTCACAATTTAGTGGAGGAGACAAGTATGACTCAATTAATAACAGGAAGTGAATGAAGGGAAGGAGAGGGAGAGTGCTAAATATAAAAATCACCACTGATGTTATGGTACTGGTAAGGCCAAAACCTCTCTGGTAGTATTGTCAGTGCTAGAGCATTCTTCCTGGAGCCTGGAGACAACGGAACAGGCCAAGTGGGTGGGGACATTCTTAAATCTAATGGTAAAGTTATTAAGATTGGTACTTATTTACATATCACTCGTGTGTGTGTGTGTGTGTGTGTGTGTGTGGTTTTACCACTTCTTGCCTCTACTATTAAGTAACTTTGGGAGTCTAGGGTCCATCGTTAGATGGTTTATCTCTGGACAAACTACTTAACCTCTCAGGCCCTCAGTTCCTTCAGCTGAGAAATGTAGAAGTGGGACAAGGTAATCTCAAATGCCTCTCGCTGTGGGGTGAGTCTGTAGCCCTGTGATTGTTCTGTCACTCCAACTAGACCATCAGTTCTTTGAAGACAGAGCTCATTTTTACAATTCCCCAGCCGGGTTTTTTCCCCCAATTCCCACAGAGGTCTGCATAGGGTGATGACTCAGTCAAAATCACTAACTGCTTCCTGTTCTAGGGACCGAACACTTTTGAGTTTAAGCCGGCAGATGTGCGTGTGTGTGTGTGTGTGTGTGTGTGTGTGTGAGTGTATCTGTGTGCTAAGGCAGGGGCTCCATTCCGAGCTGCAGGGGCACTGTCTGAGGGCTCAGCATGGAGATCTGAGTACAGCAGGCCAGGGCTGCCATGGGTGCAGAGGTGAGGATTCGAGAGCCCAGGGTCGCAGAGTGGGTGCCAAATGAGGAGCGGCCTGAAGCAACTGTGTGCAGCAGAAGAGCTAAGAGGACTGGCCCATGCTGCTCAGAAAAGGACAGCACCCTCGGAAATGAAGGTGTTGAAGTGCTGAGAGGAGGAAGGGGCACAGGCTTTGCCTAAGCAAGGGCGTTACTGCTGCCACTCAAGCAGTCCGTCTACCCCATTGTTTGAGCAACCACATTATGCAGAACTCAGAACTGGGCTCTGTGAGGAGACCCATAAGAATGAAGAGTTACAGTCCCTGCCCCAGAGAAATTTCCAGGCTAATGAGGAGACAGCCACAGTAACTACATTTTCTGATCCAAGAGTAGGACATATAGACTGACAAGTATAAATATACTTTTGAAGTTAAACAAATGTAATGTTCATAATTGGGTGGTCCCTGAAGAAAAAAAAAACCCAGCCTGTGTCATCAACAATTAGATGGGACAGGCATACCCACAGGGAGAAACCCACAGCACACGTGGAAGGATAACTCAAGGGAAGCCGGGACAGCTGAGATCAACTGCATGTGTTATGTGCAAGAACAAATTAGCTTGACTGTTACCTTATGTCTCTAATAACCAAATGCCTATTGGACCAGTGGCCCCCTCAAAGTGAATCCCACTTATTTATGGGCATTCACAAAGGGGTGCCTCATACGTGTTCACACACTGTCTGTCATCGGCCGTCATTTGATGTCCTCCTTGCTCTCCTTCCTCTGCCCCAGCACCCCCCTCAGTTGTCCTTTATTCTATTCAGCTGCTTGAGAAGTCCCCCAAGTTCTCATTCATTCAATATTCAGCAACTGTCTGCTGAGTACCAACTATGTACCCGCCCTGTATGAAGAAGTGGGGCCACAGAGACAAATAAGACACAGCCCTTTGATCAAAGAGCTCTCTGTTTCTTAGGAGAGAAAGGCACAAAAGCAAATGACATAAGGTTCTATAGGTCTCCTCATCTTAAAAAGATCTGAAGCAGGACTGCAAATTGCTCATTCTCCACTCAGACATGCAGAGGAACTTCAGGGCCTTTGTGCCTTTGCAGTCGCTGTGATCTTCCGGTAAGCCTCCCACCCCCAGGGAAGGAGAAGAAACCTAAATGCAATCCATCTGGGTAAACTCAGTTGAACCTAAGCATTTGAACATTCTGCTTGGGCAGCTTAGGCAATTGCTCAGTCTTTCCAGTTTCCTGTTCAAACCCAGCTCCTCTCTAAGAAGGGTTAGGGTGAGTGTAGGTGGTGTGGCTTAGGTAACCTTGTGGCAACAGGGGGAGACAGCGTCCCTGGACCTATGTGGCCTTATCAGGATTCCCACTGGTCTCTGCACGAATCTACGTTGCTCACTGGTCTGATGAGCTCATGCTGACTCCCACCATAGCAGCTGGTGTCCCCAGCTGTTGCCTGCATAGTGTAGCCCCTTTGCTCCATGTTCAGCCTTGTGCCAGTTCTTTACCCTCTCTGCATCTCTGAGGGCCCTCAAGGGAGCTTGTGGGTACGTTGGGGCACTAGTATATTCTGCACAGGTATAAGGAGCCTATGGTCCACCCCCAGGGCAGGGGAAGGGAGATGTTGAGAACTTAGATCCCTCTTAGCTCTCCCTCTATCACATTTTTCTTTCCACAGTCCTTCAGGCTAAAAAAGACGGACTTCAGGCTATTTCCTGAACATCATATCCTCCTTTTACCCTCAGACAATAAGCCTCAAGCCCTAGCCATCACAAGCAAAAAAGGTCATTTGTCTACACTACAAAAGAACTCTAAGATCCGGTCCACGGGCTACTCATGATGCGTCAAAGGGGTAGATAAAAGAAATTAAAATATCCTTTTGTCTTTTACAAAGACTGGCTTTCAAGCCTTTCACCTTGCTGCTGACTCTAAAATACTATTTCAGATGTCAGAAGCTGAATATTGGCTTCCTCTTTTTCATTGTATACCTGCTGAAGCAACATTAACTCTTCCAGAGGCAGACTAGTGCCTTGAGCTGTCTAGCGAAAAGTAATAGACACAGAGGCGCAAAAGAAAAAATCTCATTTATATATTTCAGAATATTTTTTGGAGTTCCTCCATGAAGTTCAAAACCAGTGCTTGCCAACTCTTCTCCTCATCCTTCGACTCAGATGGACTGTGCAATGAGTCTTCAGTTCTAGAAACCTGGCCTACTCAGGCTGGAAAGAGAATATTTTGACAGGTAACTGCTGCTTTTACAAAATTAAGCCCAGGTTTAGAGATCATCAAGAGGAGAGTTGTAAACTTTGGTCTCACAAGATATAAAGATCCCTATAGGAATGAGAAAGAAGAAGAGGCAGGTAAAAAAAAAAGTTTAAAATGTCATCTCTGTAACAAAGATTTTCCTAGGCACTCTCTGTACTAAATCTTGTTCAACCTCCCAACAATTCCTACAAGCAAGCTACTCTTTCCCCCACTTTACAGATGTGAAATCAGACATTTAACGAAGTTGTGAGCCCATCCCAAGATCACACAGTTTGTAAGCATACCTTCCACTGACAGCCCTCATGAGACAGTGTGGACGTGGTAATGAGGGGTCACAGTAGAGCTAGGGTGTTTCTCCTCATCACAGCCTCGAGACAAGAGGAGATGGCTAGGCTGTGAAGCTGATAACAGAACCCCAGGGTGCTGGCTATTAGGGTATTACCTTCATCTTTGTTCGGACATGTTCTAGAAAATAGGCTGGAGGCAGGGGAATGAACAAGGTGGCTTCTGGAATGAGGTCTCTAGCCTCTATGTGATTCTACGATAGGAGAGAAAATCCCAAGTAAGACCAGGACATGTATGAAAATAATAGAATTCAAGCCATTTTCCAATCTTCTTCCTTTAGGGTAAACAGGATTTTCCATCTCTTCAGCAGTTCTCCGGAGTCTGTCATCCCCCAGCTTTTTAAAAGCTCCTCTTCCTCCCTCTTCGGAGCTTGTTGGAGGTCTGTTCCTGGCACATGCCCTCCTTCACAGGAACAAGAAGGGTGAGGGGGAGACAGGATAGGTTGGGACACAAGCTCCAGTTTAGTGTATGTCCCAGCCCAGTCCCCTCATTAAGCCCAGATCCTCATCTCCCCCTGGGAGTGGGGCTCAACGCAGACAGTAAAGAACTGCTGGGCCCCGGGGGCCCATCACACTGGATCCACACCCGACATTATCTCCTAAGCAGATACCCCCTTCCGAACTGGGGATGTAGGGCTTTGAAACTAGAAAATGCCAGGTCTGAAAGAGAGGAAAGAACAAGTCCAGCAATACACAGAGCTCTGTGTATTCAGAGGGAAGTTGGCAGGGTTGTGTTCGGGCAGAGAAACTCCGAGTGGTACAAAGGGACGTGCCCAGAGTGGAGAAATCATGCTAATTGTCTGCATCAGAGCTGGAGAACGCCACCCAAAATGAAGAGAGAAAGAGGAGCCCTGTCCAGAGCCTTCAGTGCCCTGCGCCTCGCTCCTTTTATCTACCTTCTTCTGATCCAGACAGGTAGGAGACCAGAAGGGTAAGAAAGGGTCTGGAGAGGGGATCCAGGGCTTTCAAAAGTGAGGGAGGGGAGCGTTGAGGGCCAGAATGCCTTTGGAGTGGGAGGAGGGGAGAGAGCTCCCCTGCCGTGGGAAGCATCTCAGTGAATTCAGGCATTAGTGTTGAATGTATTTCTTCATTCTGTGTGCCTCCTGCCCGGCCCCTGCCCCCCTCCAAAGCATGACTTTGGAGCTCCCACGGCATTCAGTACATTAGATGGAGGGCAATGAGCCATCTCTTATGGGATGTCGTGTTGGCGTGGGCCAGTCCGGCATTCTTTCCAAGGGATTATGGTGGGGCTTGGAGGGGTGAAGGAAATCTTAGTTTTGTGCCTCCCCAACCCCCCATCCTGGCTTCTCTGAGTTTAAAACAGCAAGGGAGATGAAAGAAGCTTTGAGATATTAAGTCTCTTGGTTTTGGGTAGTGACTCAAATCTATTCATAACTCACCCCATGCCATAGACACCTACCTCCTGTACCGCCCCCTACCAACTCCTTGGAGAATTGATCTTATTTTAAATATACGCGTTTATGTGTGTGCGTATGAGCATGTGCATGTGCACACACACGCACACTATTCCAGAGAGCCTAGGAATTCACAATTTAGTTGGGCAAACAGATGCAGAGATCATTTGAATAAAATGTGGAAACTAATCTGTAGACAATGGAGAGGGAGGGGATTGAATGGTTTTTAATCTGGGGACTGACAGGCCAGCGTGTATTTCAGATAGCTCACTCTGCAGTGAGGTGTTGGAGAGGAAACTGGAGGCAAATGAGACAGGAAAGGAAGCTGTATCCGCTTGCTAGGGCTGCTGTAACAAAGAACCGCAAACTAGGGGGCCTTAAACAACAGAAATGGATTCTCTCACACTTCTGGAGGCTAAAAGTTCAAGATCAAGGTGTTGGCAAGGCCATACTCCCTCTGAAGGGGCTTGAGAAGGACCTATGCCAGACCTCTCTGCTAGCTTCTGGTAGTTCCCTGGCTTGTGGCAGCATAACTTCAATCTTCACATGACTCTCCCTGTGCCTATGTCTGTGTCCAAATTTCCCATTTTATTAAGGACACCAGTCACTTTGGATTAGCGGCCCACCCTACTCGAGTAGGACCTGCTTAGCTTATTACCTCTGCAATGACCCCATTGCCAAATAAGATCACATTCTGAGGTACTGGGAGTTAGGACTTCAGCATACGAATTTTAGGAGACACAATTAATCCATAACTAGGCTATTGCAATAGTTCAGGAGAGAAATAACATGGACTGGAAGTAGAATAAAGACGGAGGGAATGAGGCATGTTGAGATAATATTTTGGAGGGAAAGTCAAGATCCAGTGATTGATAGAAAGTGGGAGGATTCAGAGAAGGAGGTAGAGTTTTTGTGTGAAAGTTTAAGCAAAAAATGGGATAGGGTTGGGGGATATAAGACCCGTACAACGTTGGGGGTATCACCTCAAATGAGATGATAATTAGTATTGTCCATGTGGAAGTTGAAATGCCTATGAGACATCCGACACCGTGGGAAAATGTTAAACAGCCTGAAGCTGGGGGGCAAGCAGGTCAGGGTTGGAGAGAGGTATTTGAAAGCTATCAGCCCATAGGTGAGATTCAAAACAATGAAAATGGATAATATCACCTAGAAGGAGATAATGGGCTAAAAATGGAACATTGAGTAACCCCCAGATTTGTAGAGGAAAAAGAGCCCACTGAGGAGACCAAGAAGGAATAGTCAGAGAAACGGGGGAGAACTAGAAGACTGTGGTGTCCAGAAAGTCAAAGGAATTGGGAGTTTTCCGGAGAATCAACATCAAAGGTTTCAAAGAGGTCCAGTATAAGAAGGACCAAAAAGAGTCCATTGGCTATGGCAAGTAAGAGGTTACTATTAGTCTTAGTGAGAGCAGTCTCAGTGGAAATTATTATGAATTGAGGAAATAAGGAGAGCTGAAGACATAGAGACGGTAAATTGGGAATAGGAAGTGCAGAATGAAATATACAAATCACAGATGTCCCTAAACTCTTTCAAATCATCAAATGGTACGGAAAAACTTATAGAAAGATATTGTCAGTCACTGTGACTAAGCAAAAACAAAAGGTGACAAAGGATCTTCTGTGTGGGGAACATGTAACAATAAATATAGCAACAAAAATTCTAAATATAAACGATGCTAACAAGATATTAGTTATGACCTATGGCAGGTAAGAGGTAAATGCAGGATCAGGCCATTGTACTGCTGTAGACTCAAGAACAATAAAGAGCTGAGATTCTATAAGGAATTTCTGCCATCTTCAATACATTAGTTAAGAAAATACCAGCTTTTTACTATACAAGCCTATAACTAATACTTATCACTTCCACTGGTTCTATTGGCTAGAACTCAGTCATATGGCCATACCAAACTGCAAGGGAGGCTCGGAAATGTCGTTTTTAAGATTGGCACTGAAGAGGAGGCTGGACCTTGTGGCCCTGGCTCCCAAAGATTTACCTTAATCCCTTGTGCTTATAGCAGCAACCACCAAGCTAATCTTAGAGAAGTCATGCTCAGTCTTTAAGGCTCTGTCTCTAAAATATGGATGAATGAGGCTTTCCTAAATTCATCACAGCCCAATTCATGGAATATTCAAACAAGGCTTTTCTAGAGACTAGTATAGTAACTTACAGACATAAAACTACATGCCATAATCTAGATGTATGCTTTGCAAGATTTTACTCTCTAGGATCCTAGAATTATTTCATCCTCTAGAGACCCAATAGGAAGAAGCCTCTTGCTGAGGTTCCGCCCTTTTAGCCCTAAGATCACCTCCACATTGTAGGTGCTGTCTTTTTTTTTTTTTTTTTTGCAATTGAAAATTACACACAGGAAAATACATTTAGCATAAGGATACAGTTTGATGAACATTTGAAAAGTGGACAAACCCATGTAATTAGCCCCCCAGATCAAGAAATAAAACATTTCAGCACCTCAGAAGCATCCCCATGCTGTTTCAGTTACTATTGCCCTCCCCCAGGGTTACAGTGTTATCCTGACTTCTAATACAGATTAATTTTCCATGTCTTTGAACTTGGGACTTGAACTTTGAACTTAAACTTGAACTTTATATAGATGGAATGATATATATGCATTCTTTTGTGTCTTCTTTCACTGAACACCAAATTTGCAAGATTCATCCATGTTATTTTTTGAACTGTAATTTATTTGGTCTCAGTGCTGTATAGTATTCCATTGTAGGAATATATGATCATTTATTTATCTATCCAACTTTGATAGACACTTTGGTTTTTTCCATTTTGGGGCTTTATGACTAGAGTTGTTAAAATTTATTCTAGGACATGTCTTTTGGTGAACAGATGTGCACATTTCTTTGGGGGATATACTTCTAAGAGTAGAATTGCTGAGTTTTATATGTGTTTAGCTCTGGTAGATATGGCCAAATTGCTTTCAAAAGTGGTTGTATCAATCTACATTCCTGCCATCAGTGTGTGAAAGTTCCAGATGTTCTACATCTTCACCAACAATTGTATCTTCTCTTTTTCATTTTAGCCATCCTAATGAGCATGAGGTGGTATCACATTGTAGTTTAAAATTGCGTTTCCATGATTATTAATGAAGTTGTGTCTTTTTCATATCTTTAGTAGCCATTTGGATATCCTTTTTTGTGAAGTACCTGTTCCAAGTCTTTTGCCCGCTTTCTAATGAGTATTCTGGATTTTTAAAACAATTACTGATTTGTAGGAGTTTAAAAAATATATTTGGATATGAGTCTTTTATAGGATATATGTATTGCAAATATCTCCTGCTGTATGCCTTGCCTTTTCACTCTCTTAATAGCGTCTTTTGATGAACAGAAGCTCTTTATTTTAGTAGGCACAATGTATCATTTTCTTCTTTTACGTGTATCAGTTTTGTGTCCTAAGAGATCTGTGTCTGCCTTAAAGATGTGGAGATATTCTTCTATGTTTTCTTTTTAAAACGTTATTGTTTTACTTTTCACATTTAGATCTACAATCTGTCTGGAATTGATATTTGTATAAGGTGTGAGGGAAGGGTCAAGATTCATTTTTTTCCTACATGGCCCAGCACTATATATTGAAAAAACAAAATCATTTCCTGACTGCAGTGCAGAGTCATTTTTATTATAGTTGAGTGATCAGATATAAGTCTGGTTTTGGACTCCCTGTTCTGTTCCATTGATCTATTTGTCTATCCTTGTGCCAATATTACAAAGTAAACTTCCTGGGATTTTCATTGGTACCATATTAAATTTCTAAGTCAGTTTTCGAGAATTGACGGCTTAACGATAGTGATTGTTCCAATCCAAAACATGGAAAATCTCTTTGTGCCATCTTGATATCTATTAGCTAGGTACACATTACTGAACATCCACATTCTTTAGAGTGTAGACAAAAAGCTACCAAGACTCCTCTCTTCCTGGATCCCGAGGGCCTTCTTCACAATTTCTGTTTCCTGATTTTCTCCTACATTTCTGAGTGGTTGACATTCAAAACGACTTCGAACTCTTGTAGGTCTTTGTGGGTCTCAAGAGGATAACAGCATAAGAATAAAACACAATAACCCCAACATGTGTACAATCAGTGGTGCCCCTATATATTAGGAGCAGAGGAGGGGGTTGTTTTCCCAGAGCATCATTCATTAGGAAGGATAGTAAAAACCGAAAGCAATATTTTTGACCTTTTAGAAACCATGCATTGTGCTGCTCTTGGATTATTGTATGCAGTTCTGGTTACCACACCTTAAAAAAGAAATAACATAGTTGGAGGAAGACTAGAGAAGGGTATCTGTGATGCCCAAAGGGATGGAGGGACTTCCTCGTGGAGACAGATCCAAACAAGACAAAAACCCCTTCAGATAAAAAGTGACATAACTGCAGTCCGTGGTGTTAGAGGGTATTGATTAGGTGTATATAGACCAAATTCAAGAATACACATTTGGCACCATCTCATTGGCACTTTTAAAAGGTAAATTTAAGGTAAATACTGGTAAAAGAAAACTTTTACCCAGCAAAAAGAAGCAAAAATGAGTAGAGGATGATTTCTTTCAAGGAAGAGACTCTTAAAGGAACACAAGGCTATTGGCAGGTACATTGTTATACTTCAAAGTTTGACATTCCTTGGTGTCAGAGTAGGTCAAAATCCTGCTTGACCAGGGGCCATTTACCTGACCCATATGGCATTATTTAAGTTGAGAGGCACACCTTGCTTCCATATCAATTTCCTTTTGTTCAGCCTCGGGTGGGAACAGAGACTTTCTATATAATGATGCCTCAGAGACCAAGGACAATGATTAAGTTAATCGCTTCTCAAGGTTGAATAGTCCTAATCCCTTTCATTTCTACACGGTTTGTAGTTGTTAGCCATTTCATCATTTCTGTGTCCTGTTTGGGCACTTGTCCCAGTTCTCTGTGTCCTTTGAAAGTTGTGGAACCCTGAACTTAATACCAACTCCAATTTTGGCGAAACAGAGTTTTGGGAAAGTGTTTGCTCAGCAAAATGTTCTCTGTCAGCTTCTGAGAAAGACTGTTCCATTCACTTCTGAACACATGTACATATACCTTGCAACTCGTGGGCGTACCCACATTCACAGGCATGAGGATGGCGTCCACTAGAGAAGGGGAGGGCTAGGGCAATCCCTAAGCTTTATCTTCTCCAATGTTTTTATCCAGAAGAAATCAAGTTTAAACTGGCAGAAAGAACAGACTTGAGGGGCAAATGACCTAAAAAAGGATTACTGGGACCTTGTATGAGACGGAAGAGAGTGGACACAGGGGAAGCTCAAGGGAGGGCTTAAGGATCATGTGGTCAAATGCATTTCAGTCTGATACACAGAGCCATAGGGATTCCTAGTAGCTCCCCAAGTTATTGGAAAGGACAAGACCCTGGTCTCCACCACGTCTTCTACCAAAGCAGGTGGTCTGGAACCAAATTTCCTTTCTTTTCATTTTTATACAGGGTTTTGTGGGAATAAAAACACCTTTAATAGAAAATATTTGAAAACAGTTGATTTTTTCCATTCTATAGCCTCCCAATTAAGATTCCTCTCAATAACAAGCATATAATATCCATACATACAGCAGCTTTAATCCTTAGAGTAATTTCTTCCATGCTTAAGGTTTTATGAGTCTAACATACCTGGCAGGTAATGGATCATAGAATGTCAGAGTTGGGGAGGCCTCCAGAGACCATCTGGTCCCATCACCTGATTATACAAAGGAGGAAACTGACACAGAGAGGAATGAAAGAGTAGTCAGTTGGACTTTCTTTGATCACTTCCAAAGATGAGGAGCTCACTACTTAACAAAGTACTTGTTCCAAAAATGAATTGAGTATGTTTAGGAAATTAAATTTGCTTTGATCTTCACAACTAACCTTTTAGTTGAATTGCTTCCTGGTTTGGTCTGGGTCCTCTAGGCACCAGGAATAAGGAATGGTACAGTATAGCTCAGGTTCCCTACCTCTAAACTGCAGCAGTAGCTGAGTGGGAAATAGGGGTGAGAAAGAAAGAGGGAACCTCAGGGGCAATGACAGTCAAAAGAAGAAGCTGACATGTATGTGTTTATTCAGCTAAACTCAGCCCTGTTCCCAACTGCCATCCTCTCCAGAAGACCCTCCTTTGGGTGGCCGTATTTCTCTACAAGGCCAGGTGACAGCAATGAATAGCATCTGTTTGGGCCCCAAAGCTCCTAAGAGATCTCTAACATATGAGATGTATCTTTGGATGGGACAGCCATTGGACAAGAGGGTAAAATCCCAGAGTTTCAGGGCTGGAATGAACCCATGAGACAGACCATCCAGGTTACCACTCATTTTACCTATAGGAGATCTGAGCACCGAACAGATAAGTGACTTCTCATAGGTCACAAGCCAACAATACAGCCCAAATCTCTGATGTTTATTCTTGTGTTCCCTCCCCTACACAGTAACTGACACACATATTGTGCTTTACCACCTCATGAACTTGATGAGGAAGTCATCAAGTCATTGTCATTGTTAGGATCCTTATTTTCTAAATGAGAAGAATGAGGCCTAGCAAGATCCTTTGCCCAAATCCATGCAGCCAGGAAGGGGTGGAGCCAAGTCTTACAAGGCTTTCTCATTCCAAACTCTGTTCTACCCATCCCAAATTCCTCATCCATGGAGGATGCACATTGGGCTGGAGTTTGGGTGAATTTCCAACGCCGTCTACACAGTTTCAGGACTGTTCTGAACTGAGCAGTTCTACTAAGATGCTACATGCAGCTGGGGCAAGGACAGGGGAGGTTCTTGGTATGACTAGAAAGTGGTACAGTTGTCTTCAGTCTCCTCAGCTTCCCCTTTATTGGCACCATCTTGTGGCACACTCCTTTCTTTGTGAATCTATGTTCTCATGCTTTCTCCATCCCCCCACTCTTCCTATCCCCAATCAAGAAGTAAATGGGACAAACTCACCCTCAAGTCTAATGACCTATAAGCTTCACTGGGTAGGGATGTCTTTCTGTTTTGCTCATTGATATATCCCAAGAACAGAGAAAGTGCCTGGCACATGGGAGGTACTCAGTAATTATTTCTATGAATGGAGCAATAGGATGTGGGTTAGCTAGAATCTTCCTCAAGAGAAAGGCAATAGGGAAAACCGTCAGAGGCGGAGGGCCAGAAGGAAGAAAAGACTGAGGCAGTGGGATGTGTATGAGGGAAGATGGAGTAGCAGAGGCACCCAGAGCTACAGTGGGAGAAGAGATGGCACCAAAGGGTAAAAAGGAAAGACTGACAAGGAGTGAAGGGCCCAGAGGGTGAGGCATGGAGAGATCAGAGAACTTAAAGGTGGGAGTGGGGTAAGGAGCAAAGGGCCTGACACTGCTCTCTTGCCATGGGCCTCTGTTCACAGAGCCCCTGGAAGGGGTGAACATCACCAGCCCAGTGCGCCTGATCCATGGCACAGTGGGGAAGTCAGCCCTGCTTTCCGTGCAATACAGCAGCACTAGCAGCGACAAGCCTGTGGTAAAATGGCAGCTGAAGCGGGACAAGCCAGTGACTGTGGTACAGTCTATTGGCACAGAGGTCATTGGCACCCTGCGGCCAGACTATCGAGATCGCATCCGCCTCTTTGAAAATGGCTCCCTGCTTCTCAGCGACCTGCAGCTGGCTGATGAGGGCACCTATGAGGTGGAGATCTCCATCACAGATGACACCTTCACCGGGGAGAAGACCATCAACCTCACTGTAGATGGTAAAGTGCTCTGGCAGGGAAAGAGGTGGGACTAGCGACTGGGACTGGGGCAAGGTCTGCCCAGCACTCTAGCTGGACGCAGGAAAACCAACACAAAAAGCTACTTGGGAGCTGAGAGTGAGCCCATTCGACATTAGAAGTTGGCAGATAAGCAGAGCTAAGACACATAGCGCGCTTACTATGTGCCAGAAACTATTCTAAGTGTTTTGCATATATTGACTCATTTAATGCTTACAATAATTTAGGGATATTTATATCATTATCTTCATTGTGCATGTGGGGAAACTGAGGCACAAAGAGGTTGAGTAACTTGCCTAAAGTCACGCAGCTAGTAAGTGATAGAGCCAATATTTGAACAGACAGTTGCACGTAGACTTAGCCCAATTAAAATACGTTCCAGACTGGGTCAGTTTAAGACATCTTGGAAAGGTGTTTGGGAAGAAAGGAAGGGAAAGTAAGGGCAGGGTCCATGGCTGTCTTGTTCAGCATTGTACTTCCTGAACTTAGCAGGTGCTCAACAAATAGTTGGTAAATAAATGAGTGAGTGAATGAATGAATAGCTGGATGTATGGATTATGGCAAAGAATTGGACTGACGATTTCTGAAGGGGCCTCTCAGACCATAAATTGAGTTGTGATGTGTTGGAAAGTAGAGAATTATAATGGGGAAGGGAGATGCTTTTTGGCCCATGGCTCACAGGCTCCCCAACTCCTGGGGCTTAGTGCCCATTTCAAGACCACAGGTGTTAGTGGCCTCGACCACTGTGCTGGAGCTCAGCGAGGACTTCACCCTGAACTGCTCGCACGAGAATGGCACCAAGCCCAGCTACACCTGGCTGAAGGATGGCAAGCCCCTCCTCAATGACTCGAGAATGCTCCTGTCCCCCGACCAAAAGGTGCTCACCATCACCCGTGTGCTCATGGAGGACGACAACCTGTACAGCTGTGTGGTAGAGAACCCCATCAGCCAGGGCCGCAGCCTGCCCATCAAGATCACCGTATACAGTGAGTGTCCCTGCATGCCCTCCCTCAGGACTCAAAATCTTGAGAGGCAGGTGCCAATAAGGGGCTAGGGACATCCCAGAGAGAGTGCCACTGGAGGGAGAGAGAGGCAGAGATGGGTCAACTCTCCGTGGTGGACAGCAACTGATGGGAAATGGGCTCTGGGCAAGCTCCGCCACTGGCCAGCCATGCTGCCTGGGGCTCCTTTCCTCTTCCTTCCGCCTCAGGAAGCTCTCCTCACCACACCCAATGCCCCCTCTGAAGGCTCTCCCACCTCCACCTCTCCCTAGGAAGAAGCTCCCTCTACATCATCTTGTCCACAGGAGGCATCTTCCTTCTTGTGACCTTGGTGACAGTCTGTGCCTGCTGGAAACCCTCCAAAAAGTCTAGGTAACTCTCCAGTTTCCACCCCCCAAGCACCCTAATCCTTCACTCCACCGAACCCCAAGCTCTATGTTTTTCTTAGTTTCTTTAAATGCCTTTCCTCCCAGGAGATCCATCTTACCATTGTGTGTGTCATAGACAGAACCACAGCCTGTGTTCTCAACCCTCAACAACCCCAGCACGACTAATGATGGTTTCACTTGTAGGGCACCTTTTGTGGGCCAGGCACTGTGCTTGTGATTGCAGTGCTACCTTTTAAGTATGATTATCTGCAGTTTACAGATAATGATGCTGAGACTCAGATTGGTTAAATGACTTGCCCATAGTCACAACACTAGCAGCAGACTCAGGATGCAAACCTAGATGCGATTCATTCCAAAGTTTACAGAGTATCTCACTCCCACCACACCCAGTCCATCTTCCTCTTACGAGACCTCTTTTACAACCATCAGATCCCCCTCGTGTGCCCACCCTAGACTTTCTGCTGCTCACACTCCATAGCTCTGTTCATGGGTGGTGGGTTGACTTGCAGGAAGAAGAGGAAGCTGGAAAAGCAAAACTCCCTGGAATATATGGATCAGAATGATGACCGCCTGAAACCCGAAGGTGAGCTCCCAGCCACCCACTCACCCGTCCCAGCGGCACTCAGATCAGTGGGCTGCTGGGAAAAGGCAGAACTGGGAGACAAGGAAGCCAGCTCTGCAGGGCCCCTTCCTCCACCAACTGCACGAAGACTGCAGAGCAGGGAGAGGTGCAGCCAAGGTAGGACCCTGGGTATCCTTTGGTGGAGGTTGTGGTGGGGCCTCAACTGGCCACTTGGGGAGCAAAGAGTTTAGGTGCTGGCTGGTGGAAGGGTTCTGTACCTGGGCCAGCCACCCTGTTCTTTGCCCTATGCAGCAGACACCCTCCCACGAAGTGGAGAGCAGGAACGGAAGAGCCCCATGGCACTCTATATCCTGAAGGACAAGGTGAGCGGCTCTGGGCTGGGTGCCCGACGAATGAGCATTGAGCCCTTACCACATGCCTGGTGATAGGTAGCCATACCATATTGATGTCTCTTTATAGTACTCAGAATAACCCTGAGAAATGTTTGTGTCATCCTCCCTTCAGAGATTAGAAATGTAAGGCTGACAGGTGAAATGACTTGCCCAGATCAAACAAGTAAACAAATGGCAGGGCTAGGCTTTGGACATCAACTCTGGCGATTTCCCCACTAAGCCACAACTAACTCTTTCCCAGGCCGTCCAAGGCAGGTGGAAAGAGAGAATAAGGGGACAAAGCACTCACGCTAATGCATTTCAACATTTACTGAGCACCTCATTATGCTCATTATGTAAGCATAACGTTATGTGCCAGGCACCATGCTAAGTGTCATGTGTTGCTCCGAAAACCACCTGTGACTGCGGCCTTCCAAGAGGTGGGAGTTGGGAGGGAACTGTGTCTCCTTCACCTGAGTATTCCCAGCGCCCTCGAACACCAGGCGCGCTCCCAGACCCGCTGGCTGTCCTCTCGCTGATCCCTGCGGTGCGTGTCCTTGCAGGACTCTCCAGAGCCCGACGAGAACCCCACGCCCGAGTCTCGAGATCGGAGCGCGACAGAGCCCGGCCCGCCAGGCTACTCCGTGTCGCCGGCAGTACCCGGCCGCTCTCCGGGGCTGCCCATCCGCTCCGCCCGCCGCTACCCGCGGTCCCCAGCGCGCTCCCCCGCCACCGGTCGGACGCACACGTCGCCGCCCCGGGCCCCAGGCTCGCCCGGCCGCTCGCGCAGCGCCTCGCGCACACTGCGGACTGCCGGCGTGCACCTGATCCGCGAGCAAGACGAGGCCGGCCCGGTGGAGATCAGCGCCTGAGCCGTCTCGGAGCCCCCGGGAGGCGCTCGCGCCCTGCAGCCCGCGGCCGGGGGAGGGCCGGGTAGCTGGGCCGCCGCCTGCGAGGGGCGACTGGAGGTCCCCGCGGGGGCGCGCGGGTCTCGCGTGTGGACGAATGCGAGCGCGCGCGGATGGGTGGTCGCTGCGGGGCGGCCGAGAGTGGATCTGGTGATGAAACCGAATCGCGTTTGCTGCGGGTTCACTGGCTGTGTCCTCGGCGGGTATGGCTTGTGCCCTCTTAGGACCATAGAGATTATTAAATTTCCGGCCCAATCCCCCAAGGATCTTATGGAAACTAACATCAGTAACCTAACCCCTGTGACTATCCTGTGCCCTTCCTAGGGAGTTCTCATGCTTCTCACCCACTTCCCTTCCCTCCGAACGAACTCCTGGTTCCTGGGGCACTTTTTTTGGCCGTCCCAGATTTGAGGCCACTTGCCCAAAACGCACAACTGTCACACACTAAGGGGAAGTCAGAGGCCGGTTACTGAGTGTGCAGGGGCTGTTGTGGGCATCGGAGGAATCGCTGTGAAGGCAGTGCCCTGGGGGACCCTTCTCTGGGCACCTGGTACCTGGGCACCTACCAGCTGGTGAGGAAGGAGCTGAAGTAGGTTGATGTCCCCCTGACCTGGGCCCTAGCAAGGGCAAAGGACTCAAGCCTCCAGTGCTTGACCTTCTCCCAGAGCCTCCCTTAGCAGCGTGCCAAGCATTCTTCCCGTTTCTATTCCTATAAAGAAGGGGGTCTCACTCACTTCCTGGCCCGGAAAGCTGGATCATGTGAAGAACTGTTTTTTAACCCCTCACACTTATGCCTTCTCCCTGGCTTCTTTAAACAAGCCTTTCAAACAATCATTATCCCCAGAAAGGTTGTTGGGCCTTCTCCTGCTGTAAGAGAAATGGTGGGAGGAGGAGGAGGCTTATTGTCCCCGGGCATGTCAGGGCGGACTTGAGCCAACCCTTGACCTCCCGTCTCCCACCTGCCCTGCCCCCAGATGCTCGCATCCCAGGAGACAGGACAGGAGCAGACTCCCTAATCACACAAACGTCAGAATACAGAGAGGTTGGGTCACTGTGTAGCCAGGCCATGCCCATGCCCCCGCCTCTTGACCAGTTCATAGGAGAGACAATAATCTACTGTGTGAGGAGAGAGGGCAATTAAAAATCTGGAAGAGAAGGAGGTCCTCTGTGTGTTCTGTCCTCTCCTCCCTGATGCCTCTAGGGGTCCTTGCATCCCTGGCACCTCCCCAACCTCCTAAGCTCCAGCTCTGACCCTCCACCATCCCACAGAGCAACTCCCAAGGCCCCTGTTCCCCACCACTCCACACAGGGGAAGTTTTGTCACAGCCCCAAGGGCAACAACATCTCTAGTTGGCTCCCCCACACTTGCCTGGACAGCAGGACCCTCCCAGTTCCCTGTCCCTGCGCACCTCTCCAGGTTCTTTTGGGCAAGTTTGCTTTTGCAGGTCCTTTTAGTTAGCCAGAACCCCTCCCCTAGCCTTCCCAGGTGCCTCAGCCAGAATGAGATAATGTGTGCAGGGGAAAGTTGCTCAGGCAGGTAGGAGAAGGGGTACGTGGTGGTCAACCTTGAGAGGCAGGAGTGAAGGTTAAGGTGAGATGAGAGCATGCAGTACTCCATACCCTGCTGCTGAATCCCTGAGGGGCCAGCTTCCCAGGTTTAAGCCAAATCTGCCTTAAATGGCGGGGTGGGGGCGGGGGTGGGGGGATAAGTAAGGAAGTGGTTTGGTTTGGTTTTGATCTTCATCTTTGTATTACTAGCATCTAGCAGAGTGCTTAGCACATACTGGATGCTCAATAAACTTTTGATGAAATGAAATGGCAACTTTATTCCACTTGAGCAAGGAGAACAAAACAAACAGCTTAAAAATACCAGTCATTGCCCTTTTCTCTTTTCTTCTCATCTTCCTTCACCATCCTTCACCCTCTTTGCAAACCCCAAATTGTCCACTCCCAAATCATCACTCACTCATCCAATCATTCATTCATTCTTTCAAGTGTTCTTCCATTTATTCAACAAACATTTGTTAACCTACCATGGCCCAAGCCCTGTGCTAGACACAGGGGAAACAGCGTAACTATGCCATGACCTCTCCCAGAAGACAGCTTCATGGGGGAAGACAGACACATAAGCAGATTATTACAACTCAGTGTGGAAAATACAATGACAGAGGTAGATACAGGGTACTCTGGGAGCAAGTAAGAGGGACATCTAACCCAGATTAAGAGTTGTCAGCAAAGGTATCTTGGAGGAGAACAGGCCTGAACTTAGTCTTAGAAAGATTAGTTAGTTAATCAAGTGAAAAAAAAGGATGAAAAGACACATATTCCAGGCAGAAGGGGCAGCATGTCTAAAAGTTTGGAAGTGTAGGTGAGTCCAGACTACTTAGCACTCAGAGAACAGTGATTACCCAGAGGCAAATGCTTCTATCCGCACTGTATAGAAGACTAGACTGGGGCCAGTGGCAAGGTGGGAAGCTGAACCTGAGACTAAGTCTGAGATTAAGACTAACCAAAGATGCGTTGACAACGAAAGGTCATTAAACACAGAAGGAAATAAATAACCGTGAATGAGAGTCAGCAGATAAAAGAAGCAATAGATTTAGACCCCCAAGGCTTTCAGACATTGAAATTGTCAGATATAAAATATAAAATAATTATGAAAAGCTTGAAGAAATAAAAGACAAAATTACAAAAATGAACAAGCAACAAAAGACTAGCAAAAGTGACCAAATTTGAAAAGGAACAAAATAGAACTTTTCAATCAAAATGTAATTTATTGAAACAAAAATGTAAAAGAAAGAGTTAAACAGCACATTAAATATAGCTGAAGAGAGTTAGTTATTTGGAAGATGTATCTGAAGAGATTTTTTAGAATAAGGCACAGACAGACAAGGAGATGAAAAATACGAAAAAGAGATTAAGGGATATGGCATGTAGAATGAAAAGGTCTAAGCCATGTTTCATCCAGAGCTCAAAGGGGAGACTAGAGAGATGAAGGAGAGGCAATATTTTAAGAGTAATGACTGAAATTTTTGTAGAACTCATAACAAACATAAATACACAGATATAGGAAGGTTAACATACAAGATATATAAAACAATGTCACACCTACATAAAACTGGTAAAACTGGAGGATACACGAGATTAAGAGGTATTAAAAGCACTCAGAGAAAAAAAGATGGATCTTACACATTTAGACAACAGTAATAATGGAAATCTTGAGAAAGTGGAATAATATCTTCAAAATATTGAGCAAAAATAACTATTAACCCAGAATACTGTACCTATCAAAGCAATCTTCCAAATATGAAGGTAAAATCAAGATATTATCAGATAAACAAAAACTACAGTTTACCACTACTAAAAGAACTCCTAAAAGACGTATTTTAGGTAGAGGAAAAATTATTCCACAAGAAGGGTTTGAGATAGGTAGGCAAATCTAAATAATGCCTTATAAAATGACAATAATGATATGTAATTTGTGGTTTCCAAAACCTGACAGATAAAATACAAGAAAACAATAGGAGGAGAGTTTTCAGAATTAAACTATTCCAAGGTCCTTGAATTCTTTGGGGAGGGGAAGATGATAAGGATATTAACTTCAGATTTTATTAAGCATTCAAGGAAACATTATCAGAGTAACCACTAAAAGAATAGAATGAGAGAATTGGTATTAGTTCCAAACCAATAAAGGGAGAAATAGAATAAGGAAACACATAAACACAAACCCAATCCATTTTTTTTTAAAAAGAAACATAGAAAAGTGGGACAATAGAAAGCCAAAAATAAGACAGTAGAAGCAAGGCTAAATTATAGATTATAAATAAATTATAATGGCCTAAATTCATGAGTTAAAATACAATCTGTTGGATTATATTTTTAAAAATCCAGCTATATGCTATTTAAATGAAATACACCCAAAACAAAGATTTGGAAAAGTTAATAGTAAAGTAATGTAAAGATAAAACATGCAAATAGTAAGCAAAAGGAAGCTGGAGCAACTATTAACATAAGACAAATGGACTTTAGGACATAAGGCCTAATTAGTAGGATAGCTTTACATCCTGTTTGCCTGAGACGGTCCTGGCTTACTCCTGTTATCCCAGCATTATTATTACTAGTATGCCCTTGACTCCCAAAAAGAATCTCAATTACATCGATGGCCTCCTTTATTATTAGGAATAAGTAAGGTATCTTGAGTTTGAGTGCAAATAATTTATTTCAGGAAACACCAGTAGAGCAGTAAGGATGTGGATCAGGAAAGAGATCAAAGCCGATAAAGGATTTGTTATCAAACCAGTTAATACTGTGGGATTACATAGCTCAATCCTATGGGAAACCCTGGGAGACAGTGTTAAACAGACTTTAGGATAATCCCAAGTGAGAGACAAGGAAACTGAGTTATCGATCCACCAAATCCCCATCCATCGTTATTTAGGGCTCTCCTAGGGCCTTAACTCCAGTACATCCAGCTTGCCTGCATGTATCCAAATATGGTCCCCAAACAGAGTGGCAGGTATTCACAGAAAGCAGCCTTCAGTGTAGAGAGATGTGAATTCTGAGGAGTTATAAAGGGGGTCCCAATAATGTCTGCTACAGAGGGTAACCACATAATATTAAAAGATTCTTTTCACCAAAAAAGTTAAAGTTGAATTGTGTGTATCTGATTAATTAACTTCAAAATTCATGAGGTAAAAATTGACAGTGTTACAGAGAGAAATTATAAATCTATTTTTGCATAGAAGATGTCAACCCACCTCTCTCAATTACTAAATGATCAAAGAGACTTAAAAACATAGCTAAAATTTTAATAGTTTAACATACAAGCTTGTTTTTTGAAAATATATAAAAGTCTACACCAATTAAAGAATACATATTCTTCTGAGGAACATATGAAATAATTTCCAAAAATTGACCGTAAGCTCAAAAGTGCTTAAGCCTCAATAAGTAAGCCTCGATAAATTTTGAAGAATTAGTATCATACAGACTACATTCTCTGACCACAAATTGAATTGGAAGTCAATAGTGAAAAGTCATATAAAACTTCATTCATTCGTCTATTTAAAAACATATTTCTTAATAACTCATGCATCAAGGAAGAAATTATGATGAACATTTTAAAACTTAAATCTACACAGAACTATAAAACTCCTAGAAGATAACAGGAGAAAACATTGATGACCTTGGATATGGCAATGACTTTTAAGATACAACACCAAAGGCACAATCTATGAAAGATATAATTATAAGCTGGACTTCATTAAAATGAAAACTTCTGCTCTCTGAAGGAAAATGTCAAGAGAATAAGAAGATAAGCCACAGACTGGAAGAAAATATTTGCAAAAGATATAACTGATAAAGGACTATTATCCAAAATATACAAAGAGCTCTTAAAACTCAACAACAAGAAAACAAATAACCCAATTTAAAAATGGGCAAAACACCTGAACAGACACCTCACCAAAGAAGATATACAGATACTAAGCATATGAAAAGATACTCCACATCATGTCATTAGGGAAATGTAAATTAAAACAACAATGAAATGCCACTATACACCTATTAGAATGGCCAAAATCCAAAACACTGACACCACTAAATGCTGATAAGGATGTGGAGCAACAAGAACTCTGATTCGTTGCTCATGGGAATGCAAAATAGTACAACCAATTTGGAAGACAGTATGGTGGTTTCTAACAAAACTAAACATGCTCTTACTATATCATCCAGCAATCACACTCCTTGGTATTTACTCCAAAAAGTTGAAAACTTGTGTCAACACAAAAACCTGCACACACGTTTACAGCAGCTCTACTCATAATTGGCAAAACTTGGAAGCAGCCAGGATGTCCTTCACTAGATGAGTGGATAAATTAACTGTGGTACTAATCATCAGGGAAATGCAAATCAAAACCAGAATGAGATATCATCTCACTTCTGTTAGAATAGCTATCATCAAAAAGACAAGAGATAATAAGTGTTGTTGAGGGTGTGGAGAAAAGGGAACCCCAGTGCACTATGGTGGGAATGCAAATCAGTATAACCACTAAGGAAAACGTTATGGAGGCTCTTCAAAAAATTAAATATAGAACTACCATATGATTCAGCAATTCCATTTCTGGGTTTAGATCTAAAGGAATTGAAATCAGGATCTCATAGAGATATCTGCACTCCCATGTTCATTGCAGTGCTACTCACAATAGCCAAGATATGAGAACAACATAAGTTCCCATATTCATGCATCAAAAGATGAGTGGATAAAGAAGATGTGGTATATTTATATACAATGGAATATTATTCAGCCATGAGAAAGAAGAAAATTCTGTTTGTGACAACTTGGATGGACCTTAAGGGTCTAAGTGAAAAACATCAGACAGAGAAAGACAAATACTGTATGATACCACTTATATATGAAACCTTAAAAAGACAAACTCAGAGAAACAGAGAGTAGAGGCTAGTTACCAGGGGTTGAGAGGAAAGTGAGGAGATGTTGGTCAGAGGGTACAAACTTCCAGTTGTAAGATCAACAAGTTGGTTGTTGATCTAATGTACAGCATGGTGATTATAACTAATAACATGTATCATAAACTTGAATGTTACTAAGAGAGTAGATCTTAAATGTTCTCACCAATAAAAAGAAATGGTAACTATGTGATGGGATGGAAGAAGTACCTAATGCTATGATGGTAATCATTTTGAAATTCATAAATGTATCAAATCAACATGTTGTACACCTTAAACTTAACTTACACAATGTTATGTGTCAATTATATCTCAATAAAACTGGAAAAAAAATAATAAACTGTAGTACATCCAGACAATGGAATATTATTCAACACTAAAAAGAAAAGAGCAATCAAACCACGAAAAGACAGGG